TACCGGGGACGGCTCAGGTCTGCGAGCCGATTGGAGCTCTCCGGGAAGAATAGCCCCAAAAATGAGTCGGCTCCAAACCAGACCTGAGACCCAGCTCTATATTCGCAGCTCATCTTCTCCTTTGGTGCCGACTTCGCTCGTATATCTCCAACAGCTGGCGGAAGACTCACCGAACAGCTGAGTGAATGAATGAATGACTGACCGACTGAATGAGCGACCAACTAACCGATCAACCCACCGAGAAGGCGAGTGAGGGAGCGACCGGATGAGCAAAGCAACGGCGCAAACGGCAGCTCCCAGAGCGCCAGCCCGCTCTTCAGTTAACAACTGGAGATGATGAAGATCTCTTGATAAGTCAGTTGCCGAGGGCAGGGGAGTTGGAAGGCAAAGATGAAGAGGAAGAAGAAAAAAAGGCACAGAGAAGAGAAAGTCGGCCTAAAAATTGAACTTGGTCGACCCAGCGGCCGCCCGTCTTTCCCCATTATATTTATGGCCCTGTGAATCGGCAGGCAGCTCAACGCCCCGCCGAATAACTCGTACGATGAAGAAGGGAAAGCCTGAGATCTTCATTCCTCCGTCATTTCGGGACATAGCATCTTACTCGAGAACCGTCAGGAACCAGGTCTCAGCGTTTTCTTTCTCAACCGACTCGGACTGAACACTTCGCCGGGAGAGCTTCTCGTTCTATCTGCTCCGCTCCTAACGTTTCCAAAGGAGTTTCGGTCGAGGATCGTGGCCCCTAAAACGGTGGCCTTTGAGATCGAAAGCTCCGCGTTCCTAAACAGTCCCAATCCCTCTTCATTATTTCCTGGCTGGCTCGGGACTCGCTCGGAGAGATCCCTTCCTCCTCCGTTCGCATAGTCTGGAACCAACATTTTTTCTTCGAGAGCACATCCGCAATAGAAGCAAGAGGCATCGAAATCCTTCATCGCTTGCTCCCCCGTCGGCGAAACAAACGAGCGATGGAGAATCGAGCGAAAACTGAAAATAGACCCTCCCGACAGAACTTTTAGCGAAGTTCCTCGTCTTAGCTCAAACCCGTAATCCTTACGAAAAACAAGCTTAGCGCAGTCTTCTCTGTTTTCCGCTCGGTCTCTTTCGTTCGCTTCGTTTCTTCCTTCTTATCCCAAAACGACGAAAGACAGCGAGCTGTAACGATCAGACTCGTAAAGGTAAACTTGGCGGCTGCTGGCGCTTCCTTCCTGCCCAGCCATTCGAGTGGGCTAGCCAGTGAGCGAGCGGTCGCCCGGTCGGTTTGCTTCCTTTTTTCTGCCTTTGCTTCCTTTGGGAACGCCGGAGGCAATACAGTCAACCGAGCTGGCCAGTGAGAGACCATTCAGCGGGCTGAGCCCGGTCGCTCGGCCGGCTCGTCCGTCGACCATCGATGCCGTTGATGCCTTGAGGGGGGGGTTCTGAGTGCGGAGGGGCACAAGGGCGTCGTCGGCTTGAGCCCCAGCGCGCGGCCGGGCGATCGGTCGGTCGGTCGGTCGAGCCGTACCACAACCATGTTAAGTTATTTTGTCTTATTGGACGGCCCTTGAGCCCTTATAATAACTTGTGGCATCCCGAAGGGCCTCCGCTCGCTTCTCCGTCTTGCTTGCTTCTTTTTATTATTACCACCGGCGGCGAAGCGACAGACGTACTTCGATCTCTCAGCTCAACTCGGGGACAAAACATCTTACTGTTTCGCCTGCCTGCCCGCTTCCTTGTCTGTCCATCAGGTGTTGCTTCGGTTTCCCAAGCCGGATTCCTCGATCGCTGGCGGAGCTCAGAAACCCTCACGGTCGGCATCCTGCAGCCGTATCGAGTCCCGTTCTGACATCTTCGCTGGCCCGCATACGTGTACGACGCGCGGCGTGGGTGTCTCGCACGGAAGCTCTTCCGATGGGGAAAACTTTCCACCTTCTGTACGAATCCTAGGGGACGGGCTCAGATTCCCCTTCCGGTATGCCCGACATCTCGTGTCAAACGACAGGTCTGCGCCCTTAATCCTCAATCTGCCGTGTAGTGTTTCGCCCACGAGTTTATTTTTTCTTGAACAGTCTAGGCCGGTTGCAGTCAGGAGTCCCCTCTCCCTGGAGCTCTCGCCTCGACTTCAATATTCCCGTCGTAGGTATTCGAATTCTCGCTGCGTTCGGAAAACTCGCGAGAAATCGCAACTATCAGGCTTCGGGCGAACTCAACAGATTCTGTTATACGACGCAATCCTCACTGCGCAAGCGCGGCAGGGCATTCCGCTGCGGTCGCATCCGGAGTGTGCTGCAGACAGAAGTTTTCCATCAGAAGAGGTCGCACGATCGAGTTCGCCAATTCTGTGAGCTGTAAGAGACGGAGGGAGGAGTAAACTCATATATGGAATACACTCGAGACTTCCATTCGCTAAGGGTCTTCGTTCGTCTTGCTCGCTTGAAACTGTGCGATATCTTTTTCAGGGCATCAGATTTGCTGTTCCGGAATCGAAAACTCCTGCTCGCGACGCGAGCTCTCGCGTCCGTCACGGCGAACAGATCGAAATCCGCTCGATTTGGGGCCCTGGTGTGAATACATCTTTCAGGCGGTAGACTTCGTTCCGCCGATGATTCCTCCCTGTCTCGGTGCGGCTCAGTGTTCGCCAAAAAAATATGGGAGAAAATAAGGAGTAGGTGGGAGAAGAAGGGCGCGGATCAAAGATGACGAACATAGTGAAGTAGTCATTTCTGCTTTGAGCTCAATCAAGTTCGTCGCGCGAGACCAAGGAGCGACATCGGAGAATATCCATCCCTCTCTCGCTGAGCGGGAGCTCACCGTCGTATCTGTTCGAGAGGGGGCAGGTCTTAGCTTCTTCTTCACGGACTTTTGAATGAAGAGCATGAAATCCCGCAGCGGACCTTCTCACTCCTTCTCACTCAGCAGCGCTATGATACATCTGGTATCGCGGTGCAGATTCGAAGGTAGTAGTGTAAGTACTGAGTAAAAACAGAAGTCCGACGCTTATGTCTGACTCAGGACGCTCAGGAATTTGTCAGAATGAGAACTATGAGCTGCTAATGCAGATTCTTCTTCACGTGAATCAAACAGGCAACTGCGATACCGCTGCGGCACCCATGGGGCGGATAATCTCGATGGTCATCACGGAACTGTCCTCCCAGACCACGCTCTACGAGAATTGGAGAGCTACGGGCCGTCGACGCGGAGGGTTGAGATTTCCCTGGGAATGAGCAATCACGCGGGAGAGAAAGCGAGTGGACAATATTCTTTCTCCGAGCAGGCGGCTGCGACGACGGCAACGAATAGTAAGCTCGGGCAGTCCATTGGCTCTCTCCAGGGAGTGGTCTCGTGTTTCCGTCGAGGTTTGTTGCCCCCGTCGAAGTTTACCCCGGCTCGAGTTTATACAGCGTGGCCACTTGGTGTCCCGAACCTTCCGAGGACAACGTGCCCGTGCATGACTATCAGAGTGAATCCTTGTGCCCTTCTCTCTTCCTGGCGTCCAGCTAGCAATCGCCATGGGATCTAATAACCATGAACCCGGAAGATGACGGCTTCTCGCGGACTACAAGCCTGATAGCCGAAATCTGTTGTCGCTCGTAGAGGGTACCTCTGCCCGACTGGGCGAGTGAGGGGGGGAAGAAGTGAAAGTCGGGAATATTCAATAACTACCGAATCTCCACATTTAGAGCGGGAGACAGTGCTGAGGACACGATAGAGGCGTAACTTATTCATGCAAGCTCAGAGAAGACATCGAACGTGTACTTTAAAAAAGAAGAAATCGATATATTTCATTAATTCGGTACGACATCTCAGCAAACGTCTCTTTGTTGTCGATGCTGATGGCGTTCTCGTCGTCCTCCTCGTAAAACCGATGGAACCAACCCCTCAGAGTCAGTATGTTGATCAATCAATGTATAAGTGTACTAGGGTTAGGGTGCACGGATTTGAGGCATCTCCGCCAACGTTATGTACAGGAAATAGCATTTTTCATCGTCGTCATCGTGATCGTTTCCATTCAGAGTTGTCATGTTCGATCGATTCATCTAGACGCGCATCTCTTTCTCTCGACTCTCTCGCTTTCGCTCTACAACAACTTCTCTTGAATCTTCAATAGATCATCGAAGGGAGCTCTTGCTTGATTTTCCTTTCGCCGGTGTCTTTACAAAATACTCTGTACATGGAGTTGTTTGTCGGTCCATATTTCCTCGTATGGTACAGATATGGAGCGATAGGTGCTTTTGCGATGGCTACGGCACCACCGTTTCGCGGTCTATATTTTTTCTTTGGTAAAGGCTGTAGACCATCTCCCCAAGAATGGTGGAGATCGGAGACGAAGAGGAGCCTCATACGGGCAGCCGAGTTTGGTTCCGCTCGTCGAAGAATGTCTCCTCGGAAGGAAAGAAAACGAATTAAGAACTCAGGAATATATTTACAGTCTCTGTCCATAGATCGCCTCACACAACTCCTACGGATCCTTCGGAATCAACTTTGTCAATTGATTTAGCTGAACTCTGCGCGACGAGTTCATCGGTCGACGGGTACGAAGATCATCGACCGATTGCTGTCCATCGTTCGTTTAACTATAATCACATTCAGTTATATTCCATTTATTATTATATACAGAATGTAAAAGCAAAAGTCCTGGATTCGATGAAGGTGTCGATGGCCCACGATGTCTCGCATTGCGTTCAAGGGTGAAGGGCTTGCACTGTTTTCCACAGTGATTTGTCCAACGAGTTCGTGGATGTGCTCAATCTGCTATTCCGGAAGGGATCGTCGTGGAAACACATATCGGCTAAACATAAAATTGGCAATCATCCGGGATCTTTCCTAACAACAGGTCATCCTCTCTGCCAGCGCTCCTCCATGGTTGACGCTTCTCCTACCGTTCACTCCGCGAAGGTTATATGTCTGCTTGCAACCAATACAATGGACCTAGACGACCTCTACGTCCGTCGTGTCGTCGACGACGTAGTCGCTGCATCGTCTCCGATTTCCAGGTAGGTAACAACAGGTAGATCTTCTGTATTGTCTCACATTTCGTCATGATCTCGTTTCTGATTTCTGTGCAACACGATATTGGCTGGGTCGTCGGCCAGTTCAGGATAGCTGGCCACGTCATGATAGTAATCCCCACGATAGCCTGGCGCCGATCCTGTCCGGATGATGTCGTCCTTCTCCTTCTCGGTCCACTCGAGTTGGCCGGTCTGGTCTCTGCTCAACAGTTCGCGCTCCTGAGCCCAGCGCTGTGTAACAGCGTGTTTTTTGGCGTGTCGCAGGATTCTCTGATGCTCTTTCGCCATTTGAGAGCCGTAACGTATGCTGAGCACGGCGTACGGCGTATGGATTCGAATGTCGGAAAATTGGTTGCCGTGGTCGGTGTGGTGCGTCATGTTGATGCTACTGCCCAGCCTCTGCAGCTGGGTGATATCGTCGTCGAATTTCCACGTTGTTTCTTTGAGGAAATAGAACACGTCGAGACCGTGCATCACCAGATGAAGGTTCACGAGCTGCGTGTTATTGAACACGGCCATGTAAACATCTTTGTTGATCTGGTTCGCCTTATCAACCGAACGGACCACAGCTCGGCCTTTCATTTCAGAAATCGTGATTCCTGCAATCAACGAGATAGAGAACAGCGTTAGATCGTCGACAACAACGACTACTACGCGAGCAGTAGAAACCACGAGACCCATCGGGAACATCTCAATTTTCCCTCTCGATTCCTACTTCTTCCACCCTGTCCTATTTACGTTGCCTATCAGCTGCTTCGATAGATCCCAGGATCGAGACTGCGGTGTGGAACGACCGCGATCGGGCGAGAGTCTGCGGAGGGTTCTCGTCGAGGACTCATCTCTAGCGAGAAGAGAAATTATCCTCCGAGGGGAGGGAACGGAAGAGACGCGGAGGAACATGCCTCCGTTCCGGGCTTAGGGAGTAGCCCTCTTCATTTAGCTAGCCGCTTTCTGCTGTTCGTGCAACAACAAATATAGACGACGCACGATAACGAGAAGACGCTGATCAAAGCACGATTGCGTCGGCTCTATATCGAGCCGTGGCCGACGACGATTATTGCAGTTGTCGAACATAAAATTCAGCTGCCAGTCGGAAGACACATCGCATGTTCTCCGTCGAGAGACGGTTCCGTCATGAATGAGAAACACGGTAGACGATCGAAAGAAGCTGGGCGGAGAGAAAAACTCAGTCGGTGGCGAGAAGGTAAGACAAGCTTCGGAACGAAGTTGACGGAGAAGATCAGACAAGACTCGGACGTAATAAGCTTGAAACCGGGATCGGTGGAGAAGCGCGAGCCTAATGAGAATCGTTGGCTTCGCCGAAAGCTCGAAAGAGGAGCAGAGATCGAATAGAATGCTAAGAGCACAGCGCTCGTGGACTGAGCGGGCGAATTGGACAGAGTAGAAAGGAAAAAACTCCGACTCGGGAACCACTTCTAGAAAGTTCATTCATTAGTTACAATCAGGAGCTAGGGTGGAACCGGCCCGAGTTCATGTTCGCAGCCGATGCAGGCGGGCGCGAGTGGGTAATCAATCGAGAGCTGGCTCATATGAGCGGCTTTGCTCTCGACTTGGGTCGATCTCACAGGAAACAGTCACAAGGACCATGGACAATACGGAATTCAGGAAGAGCTCCTCTTCCAAGGGAGGGACACGGCCCGAGCGGGGAAAGTCCAGAATTCCAAAAGACCGAGCCCGGAAACCGCTGAATTTCAATCGAGGAGAGAATAGTTCTCAGTCCCCCCATGACATAAGTATTTCTCGAGTATTGGGCGGCGATTCGTGGGGCCGAGGCAAAAATCGCTGGATGACCCCTCTACAGCGGGATGGCTAAGCCCACTTGGAAGCGGGACGGACATCCCTAATCCCTCCTGTCCGCTGGTTCGTCCATCGCGACTCTCAGACAGATAAACGCTCGTAGAGAGTGAGATAGTAGAAGAGACCCATGGAAAAATGCGATCGTCGTCGTCGTTCGAAACTCACCGGAGCCGAGCGGAACGTGCAGGGTTGTGAGCTGGTTGGCGCCCAGGAAATCTTCCTGTTTCACTCGGGAGCGGTCAACAGAGCTTAGACGTGCGAAGTTCGCGAGTTTGCGCTGTACCGAGCACACATAGCCCGAGATGAGCGGTACGGATGGCAATTGTGGAAGCACGGAGAATTTGTCGATGTTGTTTCGACTGTCATGGAAACCATTGGCCGTTCGCATGACTGATGAAGGACGGCCAAGACCCATCGTCTCGATGTCTATGCCCTGGCTGGCGATCCAATCGGGAGTGTCTGTGGGGGGAAGAAATGAGGAATTAGCCCGAGCTTTAGCTCCCGAGCCCGGATATACGATAAGCGTACAAGCTCTGTTCTGAGCCGGAATCCTATTGGATACGTCGCGTCGCTAGTGGAGTTGAGGGCTCGCTTACCGAATTTGTTTTGTTGTTTCTTGTGGAGGTTGACGGGGTCGTTGTTGTTGAATTGGTACAGGTGAAGGTGTCTGATGTCGTTGACGTGATTGAGTACATTCTCATAGCGGGGCGTCATCCACTTGCCGGTTAAGGAATCGTAGACTTTGTCTCCGATGTGCAGCAGCAACGTCAGTGGGTCGAGAATTCCGCCTTGGAAATCGACTGGCACGTAGAACGTCGGCGTCGAATCGTAGATTATGTGTCCGTAAGGTCCTCGAAGAACCTCTTTGATGACCTCGCCGTAACGATCGAAGATCAGCGTCGGGCTTCCGTTATGGTCGGTCGCCACGTAGTAGCTGTCCTTGTTGACGAGAATATGGATGAGGAAATCGTTGTTGTCGTAAATTAGGCTCATGCTCCGTCCGTCGGCGTTGTTGTAGATGTGAGTGACGAGGTGCGGACGGGTTAGGTCGGCGTAGAAGAATTGCGTCATGTTTCCAAAGTGGTCTTTGCGCATCGCAAGGCGGTTCTGAGCGTCGTAGAAGTATTTCACCTCGTACTTGCCACGAGTGCCAGAGGCTTTGATCAGCTGACCCTTGACGTTGTAATGGAATCTTTCCTCTCCTCGCTGAACGACAAAACCTCGATCATTAACGACAAATGGAGTTTCGCCAAACCGGAGAATCCTGTCACCCACGTCGTGGAGAATTTCAATTTTGTTGCCCATGTAGCGCATGGTGACGATGTTCCCGTTATCGTCGTAATGGAAGTTCCAGCGGTCCTTGCCCACCATCTCGATGAGCTGGTTGTCGAGATCATACGAGAAGTTCTGAGTCCTCATCTGGCTGCCGCCCTGGAGTCGCATGAGCGTTTTACTCTGGACGAGGTTGTTGTTACCACCGTAGGTGCAGTCGAGACTGTAGACCTCTTTCTCCGCAATGAGCAATCCGCGATGCTGGATGCGACCCATGCCATCTGTGAGTTGAGTGAACGTGGCCACACCATCGGCGAGTACGGTGTCGTTGGGACTCTGAGTAAACACGCGGAACAGTCCGAACTGTTCACGTTTGCCCGTCTCGGCGTCGTAACTCAGGTCGATATCGGCGAACTGTAGGGTCCCGACACGGGCTCGTATATGCTTTGGTCGGAACCAATTGTCGTATTGATAATGGAAATTAGCCGTTGTGAGCTGGAACTTCGAGTAGAACTTTGCCACGCATTGCGTGAGCATCGCCCCGTCGTAGAAGTAGTCGTATTTGACTTCGACGTCGTTCTCGCTCCAGGCTTCGCTTTTGACAAAACCGGTCGAGCTGTAGTTCGTCAGCGTTTTCCCACCACCGTACACGACTGCGCTGAGCAAACTCTGATTGTTGTAGCGGTATAAAACGCGCCCGTGGTCACCGGGGAATATTTTCAAGATAGGCTGGCCGCGGTCGTTATAGTAGACGGTCAGTGGCCCATGGTTGCCAGGGGGCGTGTAGAGCAGTTTATAGAAACCGACGGTGACCAGGATCTGGTAGCTGTGGACTGTAGATTTGGGCGTTGTTATGCTCTCGAGACCGCCGTTTTTGTCGTACTTCAAAAGGTATTCACGTCCGCTGGGCAGCTTGACTTTCGTGGGCTTGCTGAGACCCTCGTACACGTAATGCACCTTGCCCTCGTTGGCGAGTTTCACCTCGCTGAGCAAACCGCTCCGATCGTACGTGTAGGACTCCTGCATGGCACCCTGACTCCAACCGGACGGTCTTCCCAGTCGATCATATTGAATGTTGAGCGGGACCTTGGTGTCTGTCGGCAGGTATTGGATCGGTCTCGAGAAGGTGTCGTACTGGATCACCAGGAACGGACGACGAGACGCGTTGTAGACCATCTCGCGGTCCGCCATCCAATCGTATTCAGTCGTCAGGTACTGTGAGGTATTCACCTGGAACGATTTCCGCTCGTATCGGAAGTCCTCCCGCGGACAGACAAAACAAACAGAACTGACGTCTCTATTGGAAAAAGCGCCGGCGAAAGGAGAAAGCAGACAACAAGACAAAAGGAAACCTACCAGCAGAGTTCGTTCGACTGAAGACACGGTAACGGCGTCACGTTCCTTTCGGTTGTACTTGACATCGTACTTCCATTCGAGAGAATTACTGATTCCAGCTTCACCTTCAGTGTACACCGTCTGTTTCACCGGAATAGGGAACATTCCAGCCTGTACCGCCAGCAAATGGTTCAGAACCTTATGAGTCGCTGCTTCCCAAAGAGCCGAAGTTTTCCAAGGGGCACGGATCTCGATCGCTCCATCCTGGTGCATCGTAGATTCGAGACTCACTCCGCCTGAAAGGACCCATTTAATCACATGAATGACACTCAGTTGGATATTTCGGATCTATCGCGAAATTTCCCCACGTATCCCACGACTGAGAAAATCCATTCGGAAGCCTGGGAAGATGCCTGCGTGCATTTCCTTATTTCTGCGATCTCCTTCGGAAAGTTCAACGGTAGATTCCATCTCGCCATTTTTCCCGAGACCCCACAGTAATCATCACGCCCCGATATTTTTGGTTCAGATTTCCTTCTCTTGTTCCGAGCACGAAGAGGAGCGACGCTGTGATTTTCACTACTTTTTGTATTGCTCCAGAGATGCACGCGGCTCGCTTTCCGAGTGTTACGTGCAGCGCGTTCCGAGCGAGCCAGAATACGAACAACTCTCAACGGAGCACGGACGGCACTCCGAGGAGTACGCGACCGAGCAGGGAAAAAACGAGAAAAACACGAACGCCTGTGACACGGCGCCGACGACGCATAGCAAAGTTGCCCCGCATTGCGCTAGCATCTGATACCGACTGCAAACAGCTGAGGAAGACTTTCTCCATTTCCGGTCTAGGTCGCGTGACCTCGACCCCGATCGCTCGCTTGCTCGTTGAGTCGGTCCGTCGGTCTTATAATTGCGTTAGAGATTCCCTCAACTCAACTCCTTTGAGTGTCCCTCAAAACAAGGCTCTTCCCCCCTCCCTCCTCCGTCCTCCGAATTGGACTCGGGCCGAGACTCTTCCAGCACTGAGTTTCGAGAAGTTCCGAGGAATTCGAGACTTCGCCGTCGCAGCCAGCTCGGACGTCAGCGCGTTTTCCTCGTTAATCGTTTGGCGTAAACTATTCGTCCGGAGGAACTCTCCATAGGCTCACGTTTGATTTTGAGCGTATTCCGATACGGATCCGCCCGATTCGCCTCTGCTCCATGCTGGAGATAGTTTATCCAAACAAGTCCACTCACCGGCGGTTGTTGTGACGCGGGAGCCTTTGACAATGACAATATCGGTCGATTTTTCATCTTTCGCTGACACAGCAGCGCCGCGATCCGAGAGATCGAACTCGAGCTCCACGATCTTTCCGGAGGGTCGTACGACACTCGTAAGACGGCCGTTTTCGTCGTAAATGTAATGGAACGTCATGCCATTCGAGTCGTGTCTGAAATGTCAAAATCGATTCAATGGGTCTCCGTAGTTGAACTCCAGAACTTTTCCCACTGCTCGATGGGTTTTTCTGAGCCGCAAAACAAAAGTTCAACTCAGTACTTTCGCGCCCGTTGACGAAGCAAGAGAAATATTCCTTCGGAACGGAGGGCAGAGGCTCCAAACAAGAGGAATAAGCTCCAACCTCAGGAGGACGACGTTGGCGACGTATTTACCTCGATGTCAGTAGGCCCGTAACACTCTCGTACTCGAAGTTGTACTGAAGATTGTCGGCGTTGGTGAACGACAGAAGCTGTTTCTGTTTGTTGACAAACACTCGGCATTTCTGACCTCTGGCCGTTTCGATGCTGAACATGTTGTTGGCAGAATCGCGGAGGAATGCGACTTTGTTCCCGGAGGCATCGGTAACGGCGCTGAGTTTCCCGAGCGAAGTGTTCACATTGTACAGGAAAGTGTATTTGGTTTTGCCGGTCAGAGCACTCTTCGTCAGGATGTGCTGTCCATATTTGTTGAAGACGTAGATCTCGTGGTTTTCGGGGAACGCTATTTGATATTCGTTGTCCCCGCTCGCCTCTGGGAGGTATGGCACAGCCGACAGGATCTGCAAGAGACGAGAAGTCGAGAGATGAATATGCGATCTCCCCGAGCGGAATCTCCCCAAAGGAAGGCCGTCACTCGGAACTCGTTTCAAGCTTCGAAGCTCTTTAAAAGAAAGACTAATCGAATCCGAAATCTCGCCGGTCGGAGACAACGACGGCGGTGATCCACGCATGAATTCCTCTCCGATCCATGTTTCCCTTCCGATTGAGCAGCGGCGGAATCGAGTCAAAATCGAGACAATATAATCGCAGAGCAAATAGAGTCGGACTGATCTCAGCGAGAAACGACTCCTTGACAGAGAACGATAAGCCGAGCGAGTTCACCGCCTGCCCGGCTGGTCGGTCGGTGGGCCGCCCTCCCATCGAGTTCCTCTTCGAGCGCTCGCCTAGTTCCGGTCCCGCTCTGAATTCGAGTGCCCCTTGCCCGGAATCTAATCATCTGAGCTCGGACCGACGTCAATAAATCGATAAATTAAGCAACGTTGACGAAAACCATGGTCCAACGGAACTCAGTCACTCCGCGCGGGTCATCGAGCTCGCGTTCGATTCGGAAGAAGCGAATGTTTTTATAATGAGAATTCGTTCGAGCTCCCGACCGACTCGGTGAACTTCACAGTCGTAATCTCGTCCGAGATATTGGGACTCGGTGCGCAGGCACGGCCGCTTCCTGAGAAGCCCGCATAATAATTAATGAATAAATTACATATCGAATTTCCACGCCGTGCTCCTGGCTTCGATCCAATGCTCACCTTGAAGTTGGCCACATCCGCTATATGGACTGTCCCGTCGCTGGTTACGGTCAGGGACGAAATTCCGTGTAGCCTGGTTTCGACGGCGAGTTGGCTGCCGCTCTCCTCGCAGGGCTTGCATGTCGAAATGTTCGAGTTCTTGGGGCACATCCACATGCAGTGCGCGGGCCGTTCCCTGCCGGCGAAGTGAAGCATCTCGCCGTCGGGATGGAGCGCGTGGACCTTGTAGTTATCTCTGTGATCGACTTCTGCCAGGTACATGATTCCGGTCGGGCCGAATGAGAACGAGATCAGAGTGCCGAGGTTCTTCGAAGCGTTCTTGTCGTATTTGTTCGTCTTGCTCTTAGACTCCTTGCAATAGGAAGGTTGTCCGACTATGGCCGTCACCCTGTGGAACAGCAAAGAGAAGTGACGATCTGACGATCCACGAACGAGAAATAAACAGCGCGAAGGGCGCATTCCCATCCTGGACGGAAGAGGAAGCGAAGGGGACGAGATACCGCATCAGTTCGCCCCCGAACGGGGCTCGATGTCGAGGTCGTTCTCGGAGGGGAAGCCATTTCCACATAGACGACCGTCCGAGAACAGCTCGATTGCTGCGAGGAGACTCACCTCTTATCTTTGGTCAGCTTGATTATCATGTGATCGTCGATGAAATACAATGAATTGTCCACCGGATTAATTGCCAATTCGGTCGGCCAGCGCAATTTCGTCTGTTCGATGGGAAGTGTTCCCACGCATGGTATGGGACGCCACTGATGTCTTCCGCGAGGTCCACCAATTACGGTGTGAATGACACCTCGTTTGTTCACCATACGGATGCGGGGACCGTCAGCAAAATACAGGGTGTTGTCCACCGAGAACGCCAAACCTGCAACAATGGATTCGAAGGGTTAAGCGAAGAAGCAAGTTACGTGTCCCCGCTCCTCGTTTGAGCGTACCCCGGAAACTCTCCTGATCCGATGCGGACTCGCACTTGAACCCTCCAGCGGAGCGTGCGGCGGGTATGCGATTTTTTTTGCCGCAGAAGAATAGCTAATTTCGGGCGTAGGTCTCGGCAGAGCTCCGAGCGACAGGCTCGTTGAGGAGCGAGCGCGGGGTAACGGGTTATTCATGACAAATGTCTAGAGCGCTAATTTAGTCGTTCACCGCGTGAAGCTAGCTACCCTCGCTCTGTCTTACTTAGATAGGCCCCAACCATTAGTCCCCTTTTTGCTCTATCGTTCGTTCGTTCGCCAGCTCCCGTGCGTTTTCTCGTCTTCATTGCCTACTCTGTTTCGTTCGCTCCCTGTCGGCGCTCCGCTCTGTCCGCCCGCTCGGACGATCCTTTTCGGATGTCTGCTGAACTGACAGTCTCGCCCGCGTCGTCGTCCCCGCCAAGCCGTTACCGGTCCACCGGCATCCTATCCGACCTGGAGCCCTTCGGCAACATGCGGGCGAGAATACGCTTGAGGCCTCTCGACGACAGAGAAAAACAACAGCGCTAAAGAGGGAAAAAGCTCGAGAGTCACAGTGTGAGCTGTAAGCCACGACTAATGTGCGTGATGGGCTTTAAAGAGAGATCAGACGACTCGCGGCATTAGCGAGCCTGCTCGCATCTCCACTATCCCTACGGTCCTGATCCACGCACGCACGCACGCTCGCCCGCCCGCCTGCACGCCAGCCTTCCAAGCCCGTTCCCGGCAATGTATCAGCCGCTGACCGAGCCCCAGGAGCCGTCTAGGTATGATGACCGGTGGAAGGACCGTCATTCGGAGCCTTTCTCCGAATCGCTTCCCTCAAGTCTCGTGGTCAGTAAATGAAAGTACGCAGGCCCGGTGAATAATAGAGTAGTCGGCGTAAACGCGGGCTGAGTACTTGTTTTCTCCCCCGGCTTTCGTACCCATCAGCGATCCTTCCGCCCACGTAGCTCCGGGTACAAGTCTTGATTAGCTCGGTCGACGTCGTCGCCCACAGGGCCCGGAGCTCGCAGCATCCTCTTCAGCTGGCCACGCTGCTGTCCCCAGGCTCCCAGTAGATCAGGCGCAGGACACTGTCTGCTCGGGCGACCGCAACCAGAAGCGGAACGAGGCATCAGGCAGAACTGGTCTTGATTGGACACGACGCTCCTTACCTTTGGGATAGTGGAGTTTGGCTTCCATGGCTCCTGTACCGTCTCCGCACAAGTCGATGTCAGGATCGACGCATCGTTTGCCGTTGCCGACAACGCTGTCGGCCGTATTGCCTTCGACAGCTTCCATGTGCTTGTCGAGTTGGACTCGAACAATCTGGTACATCTCAGGATCCGAAATATACAGGTGGCCGTCGGTGGGCGATAACGCGATGTGGTACTGATACGTGAGCTGATCCGGAAGGTTCCTACAAGCGGCGGGGGAGAAGCGTTCGGTCAAGCTGATTCGGAAAACATCCTCGTCCCTTTCTGTGAGAATTTCTCGGGGTCATACGCTGAGTCCGAGCGGATTTGAGAATTCTGAATCCTTACTTGAGCGTGTAGACGGTGTACACCTGTCCCGAAGGCGTAATGCGTCGGATGAGATTGTGATCTCCGACATAAATGCTGCCGTCTGGACCCGATGTCAAGGTGATGGGATTTTCGAGTTTGTTGCCCTGGGCGCGGCCGTTGCATTCCGGACAAATCCTCGATGTTCGCTTGCGACCGGTGCCGATTAGAGTTTGAATCACGCGAGGCTGATGCTTGAAATAGACCGTGGAACCGTCGCCTTTCTGGAGCACTCCTTCGTGGAAATTGTATCGGTGGTGGATGTCGAGATTCCATTGACCCAGCTCCGAGATGTCCATGTCGAAACCACGTAGCGTGGTCGACTGCGAGGTCCAGACCGTTTTGTCGCAAGTCGTGTACTGGTACCCGACGTATACTGGAATATAGGGGCTGCGCGTGAGTTACGGTTCGAGCGCTGGCCACGACAACGAAAGCAGCAGCAACGACTCAACGAAACTGCCCCAACCAGTCGACGAGCATGTGTCGTAGAAGAATTATTAGAGGAACAGCACGCTCTTGTTGCTCGCTCGTGCGTGAGTTCGTGCCAAACTTCGTTAAGATGTAATGGGGGCGCGAGGTTGGAAGTCGTAATGTGTGCCGGTCATTGGGGCTCCTCACGAGGGAACACTTACCCAGTACGGTTGTGAGTCCGTAGACCTTCTGTTTGTAAACGTTGCGTTTGTTCCAGGCGAAGGTGAACTTGATGTCTGGGTCTGCCTCGAATGTGTTCTCGAACAGGATCCCCTCAACAACGATTCGGAGTTGCACCAACTTGAGTTCTTTTGGAACGACCGATGGTGTGAGTTGCAAGTGAATTGTGGAGAGATAGCCCTGACTGTGGCTGCTCTGATAAACCAGTCGCAGATCAGAACCGGGAATGGGCAGCGCTTCTTGGATGACCTGAAATATTCAAACGTCGGCTCGTTCAGACTCGGGCGCAAGAGGGCTGGGGGCATTCTTTTTCGGAGACTGTTTTCGCCGTCGGGATGAAAAATCTCTCGAGGCACGACCAGTCCGAGTATCGGCCGAGCATCTGCTCGCTCTATTTCAAGTACCGCCGGTCCTCGCTGTTAGTCGCCTTTGTTCTCTCCATCCATGCTCGCTGGGAACAAGAAGAAGTTCTTGTCGAGGCAATTCTTCCTTTCTTTCCTCTTCTGCATACACCGAGCGCAGCCATCGTCGGCAAAGACAGAGAAGGCCGGCGGAGACCAAAGCGAACGGAGGAGGCCGACGTCCTAGTTTATTCAGGGCTCCACCCTTCTATCCTTTATAAGTAGTGACAGTATATTGTATTACCTCATTACGTCGCGGCCATCCAACGGACACCGCCTCGCGGACAGCGACCGCAAGCCTCGATACTTCGGTTCGGCAAAAAAGACATCAGGATCGAAATTCTGCGAGAAATTCCAGACTCCGCTCCGAGTACGAAGTCATCAGCGGAGAAGCAAAATCACGTCGGGACTCTCCGCGCCTGGGCGAATCTCCGTTCCAGTCGGAGGGAGACGCGTCAAAAACCGCCACCAATAGTTCAAAGGCAGAGCTCACTACTTCTCGAGTCGATCGCTCGGACAGTTTGTGAGGAAGAATTCTGATAGGACTGAAGCGAGCGTCCCGACCGCTAGACTCCGCACCTTTGCCCGAGGGCCAAACGTCGTCTCTAGTGATCTCCCACGAGTGTGATATTTTTTTCCCAAATAGAAATGGTGCTCTTAGCTGACACAGAACTCCTCAAGCCTATCGGAGCACACCGTGTCGGATGGCTATGGCCCATTTGACTCACCGAGGTTTGCCCCGACCAACGATCAATCATGGGAAGATTGAATGCTTCGCTGTCGTTCAACTCTGAACCTGTGAGGGCCATTAGCTTCGACCTTTGATCGGCAACGCCGCTTTGCACTGTGCCGTAGGACTTTTTTCGGGATCCGGCCAGCAGCATAAGCCGGAGAACCTTTCCCAGGTCAAAAACTATGCGAGTTTCCTCCTTTTGTATTTGCGTTGCAAGGAATGCGGGACTTGTGTATTAAATTGACTTTCCCTCAGAGTTCGTCTCCCGACAAATCGCTCCTTCCCAGCTTGGAGGGAAACGTCGCCGCGCCGACGCCATCTCAAGGATATGCAGTCGGAAGCTGAGACCACGGATTTTTCCGGGTCCACGAAATTTCTTTGCAGGCATCATCGATCGGCATCGAGTCGAATCGTACGCGAGTTCGTTCCCTCGACCGAAAGGAACAAAGCATCAATTCGGATTCTCGGCGGTGCTTGGAACCAATCCGCCTTTCAGAGGCTCTGATCGCTGCGGGTGAGAAGCCGAGCGCGCTTCCGTGATTGAGTCTGTACCGTGAGGGGGATCGGCAACAGTTGATGTCCCTAAGCATATTTCGGCCGACCACTCGGTCCGCGCATCCATGCTCTCGTAATGATTCGATCAGAAGTCGGCTGACCGAGGAAGCGAACGAAGCGCGTTATAACGGTGCTCGAGCTGAGCAGATCCCCAGCGCCCCCCCCCCGTTGGTTTCCGAAGGTGGAGTTCGTGCTCTGAAGGACACTACGTCCGCTCTCGACAGAGCCATAAGAGTACGCTGAGTACAAATACGTGCCGGTGAGCAACCTTCACAGTTCCTCGAGCTATCGAATCCGCGTTTCTTCGTAGAATAACTCTCATTTGCAAAAATCACGGATCTGTCTCGGACGTAATTCGCCTCAGGGTAACGCCTCCGCTCGGGAAGCAGCACGATGTGGGCACAGAAAACGCGCCGGATAGAAGAGCGTGGGTTCAGGCCCTTTTGGAGAACGTGATCCACTTTTAGGTTGCTGATAGCGGTGGCCACGCACGCGCAGGACGACATTTAATTTGATAATTGCTTCCAGCTGCTCTGCTCACTATCTCGCTGGCCGGTCGACCGCCGGTCGGTTTTAACTTATTCTTAAAGTGCAAACTAAGGATTAGGAGAATCCAATGGAGGAATCGGCCCGAATTCAAATGTCTCGCCCGCCTTAGTTCGTAATCCTGAGCGGGGCGCGTGCCCGTGTGTACCAAATATCATATCGCCCTACGGCTTTGTAGTCCAGACGCCGTAGATTAAGAACTGCTCAGCAGCTACACGCACAGCACGTTGACGGTGATAGCGAGGATGGCAGTCCTCTCCAGTGCATTCTGAGGCATTTGTCAAGCGTTTGTCCGGGAACGTAATTAACATAGATATCTAAGGCTATGCGGTCGCTCGTCCGCTCATCCGCGGACAAACCGTGAAGACCACGCCCTACAGCGGGGAGCAACGTCCCTTGGAGGCTTGATTCCCTCAAGGTGCGGCATTCATTTTTTCGACGTCGAAAAACAAACATCCACCGATCCTGTCCGACCCTAAAATCTCCAGGAAGGAGAAGAACTCGGAGACCTCTGGGCTCCGGACCGTCGTCGCTCGAATACTGACCTGAGTTTCTGCGATGATCGCCGTACGTTCGGTGCAGCCTCCCTGTGAGCCAGGTCGCCATGTTTGATACACAATGGGTTTCATTCGGTCGTAATCGTGTACGAGGCATCCGCTCTGTTCTTCGAACATCGCCTCGCCCTCGTTGGGGTCTTGGGCAACGCTCATCATGACAACAGGCGACATGACGACAATGTCGTTCCATGGAACCATGATTGTTCGTTTTATGGGATGGAATGGATTCCTTTGGAACTGTAGAGTCACAGCTCCGCCTCCATTGACTAAAATATCGAACCTGGAAATTCGAACGGAACGTTAGGACCGAAAACCAGTGACCACTCCCTGTCCACGCTAATCAATTCCGACCCAACGAACTCATCGGCTTCAACCTCTGGGATCGTAAGTTCTTTGAATAAGTCACCGGACTCATACATATATTGAGAGAGCAAGATCCATTCGCTAGCAGCCCTACAGCGGTCGGCGGTACATAGAATTCTGTTTGGATTATCGGTTGGTCGAGATATCGGTCTGTCGGTCGGTTCATCGCCCCACGTCAAGAATTCATCAGCTCTGCCGAGAGCCTCCTTCGTCCACCTCTCGCATGTCGCCCACAAGCCCCAATGAGATCTGGCGAAGGGCCGCCGAGCCCCCGAATACGGCTGAGAACTAATCACAACTTGAAGGCGACTCCCCCACCGATGTTTCGGCCAATTCCATTATAAGTTCTACTTTGACGGCATCCCGGCTATCTATCAAGGGATTGCTCTCTGGTATTCACCAACAACTGCGACTAGTCGTTGCGGATGCTCTCTACGAGCAGCCGACGACAAACCGGCGGGTTGTCAGGCTGGCGGGCTCGGGCAGAGCTTCCCTAGTCAGAACTCGAGACGCGCCACGCTGTTTGTCCCGTTCTCCTTTGAGAGAGCCGAGCCGCGTTCTCAAGATCCTAAGCTCTTCACCCTCATTCGGTGGAGACTCTCGGCATTGTCGTCATCGCAGCAGCTTCGCCGGCAGCTGCCTTCGTGGTTCCCGACCAGGACCCGAGAGACACCTCTGATCTTGCTCTGATCTCATGGGGAAAGCCGAGGAACCAGCCGGTCGGCCGAGAGAAGCAGCAGAACGCAGACGAAAATTGAGTTTCCGGTCTCTTCCACTGGCGTTTCAGCTAGTCGGTTACAGCGGCGTGTGCCGCCTCGTTCCTGAGTGATTGAGATTATTTATCGGGGAAGGATCCGATACGGAACGATCGCTGGCCAATAGCACTCAATAATAATCAGCACGAAGTTACAATAAGATGCGTCGGACCACGATGAGAGTACTTCGTTGCGAAATTTCCAGAAAACGACACGCGATCACCTGGCATCGAAACTGGAGATCGAAAGAGTATAACGGGATTCTGGCTTGCGATTTCCTGGTGGATTTCGGAGAGGAATAAGATTACAAATATTTCGATCGTAGAAATCTGAACGGGGGAACGATCAGTTATCTAGACGCACAGACGTAGAACACGAAGGGGAGCCGAAGGCAAAGCAAGAAATTCATGAGAGCGGAGCGGCTATTTCCAAACAGAGGTCCGGGACAACGCCGACGCTTTTCGTTGAAATATTTACGAAGTAATTTATATTTGTCGTTCTGCTGTTCTGTTTGCTTCAGGCGGTTCCACCAGTGCTCTCCGCCGGCCTGCCCCTGGCGGCAACAACGCACTGCCTCAGACAGCGCCGACTGACTGAATGAGAACGTTCGTTAGAATTCGTTGCACAGATCGCTTTTGTTCACAAAATGCCGAAACCAACCCGCGGCGAGCGAACAAGAGTTGCCCAAACCGTGGGAAACAACGACGACGCTTCAGACGAAGGCTCTATGCCCGAATTCAATTCCTGACTAAATCTGGAACACGTCGATTCTGGTTGAGTGGCAGGCGGCGCTGCCGTGCGCCTTAATATGATTTCTTCCCCGTCAAATCGAATCGGGACCGACCTGCGGGCGAACCAAGCAGCGACCAACCTGCTTTCCTACCTTCATACCTACAAAGCAACGGATCAGACCGACCAACCCGAGTCGAACCCTTGCGTGACCTTCGTAGAATGTCGAGAGATTGCATCGACGGATCCCGCGATCTTACAACAAGGCGCTCGAATTTCGTGCGGATTTCAGTTTTTAACCGACGAGCTAATTACCAATGGTCAACGGAGTTTTCTTTCAAGCATGCGATCTGGGAACTTACCATCCATCTGGCCGGGTGAGAGTGAATCCGAACTGTGGGTCTGTAGCCACGCTGACCCTGATTCCTATGAGTCCGTTGCCTTCACGGCCGATCACTCTTCCTCGAATCACTGAGACGCGGCTGGGTTGGTTAAACCGACGACACCGTTAGTACCTGAATGTTCAACCAACACCGAGGGACCGGGTACATGGGACAACCAAGGAAACAACCGAAGCTGAACAACGGCTTCGACGGCAATTATTAGTGTGGTAATAATTCCAAGAGCCCGTCGTCGCAGTATGTGGAGCCGAATCTATAAGGGGATCCCCTCGCAGGAAAGCGGACAGAAACATCTTCTTCCGTCCAAAGTGACGTCAACCGGAGAAGTTCCGACGATCTAGTCCGCACCGACTCGCGGTGGGTGTTCGCAAGGATCGACATCTCTCGTCAGAGAGATAACGGGTCCACATCTTTAGCCCGCGAGGGGAAATTTTCCGCTCTATCTGACACTGGGCAGCTCCACGTTACGATCGGTATAGATTCGTTTGCCACTCGGCTCCGAGAAAAGGCATTGTTACACCTTTATGGTTCCGCTTCGGGGATTCCAAAAATCTATATTCGCTGCGGCATTGGTGTTGCAGCCGAGGCCGTCGCGGAGCTCCGAGTGTTTTCCTTCCGTGCACAGCTAATAAGGCTTTGGCGAACCGTGGCACGCAGCCTCACGCAAAAATGGGAAACAACTCAGAGGTAAGCCGCTTTAGCAGGCGGAGGCGAATTCCGCGCAGCAACATCCGCTCCTGTGGCGGACTTCATTTGCAGGAATATTCCGGGCGGTTACGTTTTCCGTGTTTGGCTTTCAGAGCTGCCAGGCTTGGAGATGATATGATGTTAGAAACAACGAGAGTTCAAGCAGCGGGGAAGCGAAGGAACAGCCTGCCAAACGCCAGAGCCTGAGAGGAAAATTCTCATGTCAGCTCCCATGCCGATAAAGTCTACGCTCGAGGAGAGACATTGGAGTCTGAATACTTGGACTCTGAGGATATTCCAGAAACAATCGACTCGAGCAAGGGCAGTTATGAGAGAGGAGAAGAATTATTATTCCCCGCATCCTGAACTCGACGCAGTATATCGATTCCTCTGGCGATCGCGCAGTTGTGTGGATAGGTGGGGTCGGGTCGTGGAGGATGGCACGAGAGGAGAATTCTTCAAGGGTCGGAGACTCAGTGGATAACGCTTTCCGCCTGACTCCGCGATGCCGATGATAAGGCCTGCAGCGAACGAGGGTTGCGGCCGACGGACCGAGCGACAAGGCTTGGAGCAAGTGAGCGACAAAAAACCGAACGGCTGGGATATTCCAGACCGTTCGCTTACGATACTATACCCAGGCTCTGAGTAGATCGAAACTTTCGAGAGGAAAAATTGTTCTGTACGTTCGAGTAGCTGATATGAAACCTCGAGGGACAGAGAAGACGAACGAAGTCCATGAAAACGGAGCAATACTTGAACGCACGGACAAAAGTGATACGAGAGAAGAACAGTCTGCGAGCGAAACGGTTTACGGGGCGGAGGCCGAGCCAAAGAATGGCATCGTCACATCCCACTAGAAAGAGGCGTCGCGAACCGATAGCCTCGTGTGCGCAACACGAATATATGAAGTCATTTTATGTCTCGAGCTCATCCTGTTCTCTCGGCGGCATCCCGGCCACGATAGGCCTATCAGACTCCGCTATAAGGAGAAATTGACTTCTTTCATCCTTCAATACGCTCGGGCGGCGACATGCAATGCGGGCTGTCCAGAGAGCAAGCGCTCGATTGAGGTGCCATCGGTTGTCGGGAACATGCCGCCGTCGAGGCGCTCGGTTCGTCCGTTTTTCCTCCCCGTGGCCTCTCGATAGTTCTCCTCGAGATCGGCTGCTTGATCGTTCGTCGGTCGCCGATTCGCTCCGAACTTCTCTTCCTGGCGCTCTCCTCTGATCGGTCGGTCGGTCGGTCGCCTCACTCGAAGAAACTGGCTTGCTTGCATCGGACATGTTGATGGAGAAAATGTTGACGGAAGTCTCATGGAGCACTCGAGGTTGGCGTCCAACGAGACTGCTCAAATTCCACATCGTGCCACCTTCACTTACCCGGATATTAGAAGATACGGTAGTTAGCTGCCGGAAGCAAGCCCATATGCAATTTTCTAAATCGAAGGCTTCCGGGTTTCGAGCGACGGTTAAGGAAAGAGAAGCTTGAATCCCAGTGCCCTTTGAAGAGGGATTGAAGCCACTATCATCGGAGTCACATGCTACGTTCTTCGGAATCACCGCATGTATCGTATGTATACGGCTAGTCCAAAGGGGAAGGAGGAGCCGTAGCGATTCCGAGCACAATTTCACTGATAGTTTCTGGTCATCTTTGAATTCGCGATTCGCTTAGACCGATCGAAGATCATTCTGTCGGCCCTGAATATTATCGAAATTGGAGACCCTATAATATCGCTTGAGGATAAGAACCCATAGGGAAAGATAACGCAAGTTTAGGCAAAGGCAGTCGTAATAACGGCTATATCTATCGGACAGAAATTGAATAGAATAACACAAGCTGGATGGACCGCTCGGATTTTTATAGCACCGCCTTCGGCTAGTGCCTGAGTCGGCCTCTATCCACAAACAACATACACGTCCTGGAATCGACACACTCCCGCGAACCTCCAGATTACTTTCGATCTGGGAAGGCTGCGTCCTGTGTGTCTGCTTTACACATTGTTCCTTTTTTTCGCTCAATTGGCTCGTTTTCTGTCGAAGTCGAATCACCGAATTTTCACCGCATTATGAACTTTGGTGCGACTCGTCGGAGGAATTTTCCGGAAACCATCTTTGACTCACTGGAATTTTTATAGCTCGCCAAAGCCTCAGTGGTCGATGGAGACCTCGTTTGTTTGTTTTTCTCTTTTCGTTCTCCTGCTTGGGAACTCCAACATCGTCCTCCGGGGATCAGAGCTGATCCAAAGTGTTCAATAAGAATTCGGTTGTTTGGATCGTTGCTTTTTTGAAAACAAAAAAGAGTCGTCGGTCGCACCAAAACTCACCTTTTAACGAAGGCACTCCAAAATTGGCTGCGAAGTACAAAGAAATTTATATAGAACACGCACACACACACACATCTAACGTCAAGTCGTCCTATGAGCCACCGGCGGTTTCTCTCGCGCTAATCCTACGGAATCATAAGATTGATTCATGTCTGCGATATCCGGAAGCATGTCTCGGGGAGATATTTTAGTTTGAGCGGTACAGGACCGGCACAGCAACGACTTCTGGGTGGATTACCACGGCGTCATATTGCGGAATTCCCTATTGTTCCACGGAGGATTTTTCCAAACGGTCCATTTTTCCGAGAGAGGATCGAACGGAGGCGAGAGTGTCTGCCCTCATGAGCACCGGGACCTGCACCGGGTATGCAAATTGTTCGGGAAGTCAATGATCAATGGATCAAACGACTGAATATTTCGCGGGAAAAATGTCCATCTACCGGGAATGGGAACATCGGAGAAACTCTGCTATTCGAGGCGTGGGATGCCGAGGAATATTGAACGCTGGGTCTGAATTGCTGGGGACCCTAACGACTGCAGCCACAGCGGAAATCGATAGTTCTTGATTTTAATAACAATCTGTTTTGATCTTGGATCTCGAGCTGTGATCTGAGCGCTAGCGACTGATTCATTCATAAATTTAGACTGATCGGAGATTTATTGCAGCCAGCCCTCGACGAGAGTCGCCGTCGAATTATTCCGCAATCTGTGGAGTACTTCGACGAGCTCTCAACTTTTTTCTGACTTCAGATTTGTCGGTGCGTTCCACTTCGCTTTTTTGAGCCGTTCTTTTTCGCTTCTGACGTTTTACCTTTGTGCCGCGCTTCACGATTAACAAGCAACAGAGAACGAGTAACATGACCTTAGTTTCTCCCGGGGACTCCCTCTATCGAGGAGGGAGCTCTGTGGAATCTCCCCGAGGGAATCTCGATTGTCGTTCGGATTTTTTTTGTTCCGTCTGAAGACTCGGCCCCAGTCTCGGAAGACTGCGTATCAGTTCCCTGGATCTTCCCTCAGAGCTCCGCTTCTCTTTTCCGGAATCCCGACGCAACATTTATCCGGGTCAGCGCTCTCGTGGGAGGCGCTGGGCACTCCCGATCGAACATGCAACATTGAACGGATTCGGGAAGGGAATCGGGGGCTCAACATGTTAACATAGAACGTGGAACGGTCAACAGTCGCCGGGCGGAAGAACGTTGAGAAACGTCCTCACGCGTTCGCCACGGCGGCATGCAGTCGAACAAAAAAACAGAAATCAAGTTTCGGAAACCAAAAGGGAAGCCAACACGGAAATCTAAGCGGTGCCCTACCTCTCAGAGTACTCATCCTTGTGCGAGTAACTCTGCACCGAATCTTCTTCGATGAGGAACTTCATCTTTTGATAAAACGAAGCTGTCACGGGAGGAGGTTGCTTCCTCAGCAAGATGTCCTGCGGTTCTGGAGAGTGGATGCATAGAAGACTGTCCTGGCATTCCGGCCGGTAGCAGCACTCACTGTCAGCGCAGTCCATCAACCCGTCTGAATTGAAAGGTTCGATCAAATTATTCCCCACACTGAGCCCGGGGGGGGGTGGATTTCGAGCCGGAGCTTCGCGTACAATTATCATTATCACTATCAGTCGCTACTTGGGCTCACCTCCATCATTATCGACCTCGTCTTTGCATTTTGTTTCCTGACGTACGCTACAGTCGTTTCCTCCCCATCCGCTTTGGCAATTACATCTCCATGACGAGGCTGATTCGTCTTTGACGCAGGCCCCCTTATTCGAACAGCTGCTGGGACACCCCTCTGGAAGGTCAAGAGGGAACAGTGAGAGCACCGAAAGACGTAGGCATCCCCCTTCTCGTCAATTCTGGCTGGGTATATGCTTTTTTGGTTAATTGAGCGAGAGCCAGAAGCCGGCTCGCCATTTTCAATCTTCTCGGGTCATTGGGAAAAAGGTGCGCGACCCAGAGTCCACGGTCCGCCGAGCCCCCAGGCCCTGATTATTGTGTTTCCCGCTCGCCCGAAGCATGTATGACGCGGAGAATAATGTCGGCCGCTTCTATTCGGTATATCGACCTCGCTCCCGCATGAGTTTTCCGGCCGGGCTGCATGCGCGGCTGCAGGACAACAACTTGGAAAACGCTGACAACAAGCTATGCTGTGTCGTGATCGGGGGAATACAGAGAATCCGGCCCGATATCGAAAGAGGTGGCGAGCGTCGCGATACTCAAGTGAAGTGTGTAATATGACAAAGTTTGCTCCATCGACCGCATGAATTCCGATAATGATCTCGCGCATCGCTAGAGCGACTCTCGAGGGATGAGCCACTGAGCTCCGCTCCTACCGCTGCTGTCAGACGGTGTTGCTGGTCTGCGAGTGCCAGAATATACATACGCAATGATCTCGCTCGTTGGAGTCAATTATTATCGAGTACGAGCGAGATCTCGCGCCATTAAGGTCTCGAAAGCTTCCCGATTTCGATTTCCATCGATAATTATGTAGCTCGATCCGATTCCCACAAGGGTGTGATTTGAAACATTCTGCAAGGCGGTGGCATAAATTCTCCGGGTGGGAACCGTTTTCGCGGCTGGGGACACACATCAGCGGGAGCCCGTTTCGAGCTTTTCAAGAGGAACCAGATCTACGAATGAGGAACGAGCTCTATGAAGCGGAAGCCGTACTTGGTCGCTTTAAAGAGGAACTCCTGCCCCTTTTGTATCTTTTTTATGATCGCTTGAAACAATATGCGGAACGACTCCCACATGAAACGGGAGGGGAACTGAATGTGAAGCTGAATAAGTTGGCTGACGAGGAGAAGAGTTGACGTTGATCCTTCTCATCCCATCGTGCGGAGAGCTTCTCGCACACCTCCTCGCCCGTCCGTATAAACTCGGGGTGCGGGCACTATGTACGCGCATGGTTCAGCAGCAGGAGTTCGTACTCTCAGCGAGAAAATGTAGGAATAGAGAAGGGTCAGAGACAAAGACGGAAAGGCGTGGAATGAAGGAGTGGCAGAAGAAGCCCAGGGAGAGCAAAGAGTTACCCATGTGGAAGGCCCTTGAGCTTGGCGCGCGAATTTCTCTCTCCGCGGATGGGAATGAACTTTGTCTCCTCCGCCTTACTCGTCACGCGACGCAGCAGCGATCGGAGTCTAGGAAGCCAATAGAATTCCGACGGCAGCGAGGAGAATCTTTTTAATATCAATCAATCCATCCCTCCATCTTTTCCCCCTGAGCTCGCTCTCCCTCATTGCTGCTGGATGTGAGCAAGCGAGACAAGCTCGACGACGGCGACGAACCGGGGAAGGATTTCGCAGATTCCGTGATGGATGCGTTCCTCTGCCGTTGAGACTGACTGAGTGGAATGTGGACGACCAGAGAGTGGAGGAGCCGCGTCCGATCGAACGGGACAGTGCTGAGCGACAGACGTGAGAGTATCACGGATACAAGTACCATGGAGGAAGAATACATCCGAGATGGCAGCAGATAAATCTCTTGGAATCTGCGTGGGTTGCCGACGGTGAAGCTGCTGCCGAGCGCGGGACCGGGACCGAATAATCTCCTGCGAGGTCTGAAGCCCCGCATTCGGATCGCTGTCATTGGAACGAATGTTGGAATACTTCAATGCTCCGGTGGTTGTTGCCCTATCCACTGGAGTACTCTCGGAAGACCGGATCGAAGTTTTCCCTTTCGAATAAGCCAGTTGCGGCGAGTGAGTTGTGAGCAAAACAGACAGGCAAAGAATGGCTCGCTGAACACTGGAGTCCGAAGCACCGACGACGAAATGCGCCGAGATGTCTTGCCGAGCAACAGATAAGGGCCCTCAAGAATCTCTCCGAGAATTCCCCGGCGCGTCCGGAAAAAAAGAAAATATTTTTGCGGCACCGTCTTGCGGAACCAACGCGAGCGGAGCAGCGAGAAAAATAAAGAAACCCGAAGAGGGTCCTCTGTCTACCCCGCGACGCCGCCGCCGCCCGCTTGGCTGGCGCACAACCGACGCCAATGATGAAAAGCGAGGGATGGAGAGCGAGCAAAAACTGATTTGCATTCTCATTGCCACCCCGCGGGAAGTTGGCCATCGTCTCACTCCTTCGTCTTCTCATTTCCTTCGAGAGGAAGAGAATAGATACGGATTGCGTCTCGAGATACGAGCGTAGAGGGGTAAAGGCAACTTATCCAGCTGACATTTGCGCGGCAGCCATTCGTGTCCGCGTCGTTGTCAACCGGAGCGCTGTAACTCGGAGGATTTGGAAGATGCGAGCGCTTCCGCGGATTCCTGTTTGTCATCGGTGGAGCAGACGGTACAAAGAAAAACAACTGATCGATTCCACAATTTTCTCTTAGTGACGCGGTTTGACAAGCGAATTCGCCTGAAAAGATCGTAGCGGTGGGATATGCAGGATACTGACCGATGGTGCAGTGTTTGCCCATCCATCCCTGGATGCAGACGCAAGTGCCGTTATTGCATTGGCCATGCAGTTGGCACCGAGGGTCGCATTCTTTGAGGTCGCATTTGTTTCCTGTCCAGCCGGAGTCGCATCTGCACCGACCTTCTTCACATCGTCCGAAAGGCCCGCAGTCGAGATTGCATTTTGCTGTAAGGGACAAAACGCAAAATGAGAAATTTCTCTTGTTGGAACCTCAGCCTCCTCTCCCGATGTTCCCGGCTTCCTCGAGCCGGTACTGCTCCCGTCACCGCATTATTTCCTGAACCTCGGGCCTCGCCGTCTCAGCATTGCTTTCTGTAAGTTTGAACTTGACGTGGTCGACCCTCAGTTGCCGGGAAGAGTTTTTTCAGCTCTTGCGTCTGTGATTCAATTTGCGGACTGGAAAGCAATTTGAGCAGTCCGAACGAGGGAAGGATTTTTTCTGCCTAGTTAAGTACTCGGGTGCGAATAATGAGCTGTTCACATCGGTTCCGTTTTTGGCTTGTAGATTGTATCTGCGCAGAGGGCGAGAAAGGCACGGCCGACAACGAATGTCGGTGCAATTCTGTGTCCGTACTAGATGCCATGCTAGCAGTTCTAGGCTAGGGCTTCCGGACGAGCGTTCTATAAAAACTGCGAGCTGGGAGGAGCCCTCGGGAGGCACCGGCAGGGAAGAGTTGAGTACACAAATGAGTCAGCCGAACGAACGAACGCACGCACGCACGAGCGACCGACCGAGCTAACGAAACGAAGCTCAGAGTTCTAATCCGCTGAATCCGTGTTGTACAAAAGCTTCGGAGAGCAATGCGCTTATCTCGCTGACGTTCTGTACCGAAAGTTCCGGCCCAGAGCGCGCAATCCAGACACATCGCACAATCATTTCGGGTTCACCCAAAATAATTTCCTAGCAGATTGTTTCAAAGATTCTCTCCGACCTTCTTTGCGAGCTACCTTGCTTGCCCCCTCCCGAAGCTAGATCGCGTCCTTCCTCCCCACGTTTGAGACTCGCACGAAATCGAAGGAAATACTGTCGGGTTTGCTAAGAAAATTCAGCGCCGAATCATGGACGCCTCCGCTCAACATTATGAGAAAAAGAACACAGATACAAGGGTGCCTCCTTGAGCACGAGCTCAGCTCTTGGAGAGGATACCCCATCGGATGGAGCAAGCATGCATTGCAGCATTGAAAATAGAGAGTCAGAAAATAACGTAACAATAACCAACCTCGGGAACAATCTGAGCCTGCCCAGTGATCGAAACAGATGCACTTTTCGGTCTCTAGGTCGTAGACTCCATGTTGCGAGCAGTCGGGGAAACAACGATTTAGGCGGTCGTCCGGATCGGAACAGTTTTGACCACGCCATCCAATCTTGCAATGACATAAGCCAGCGGAGCAGACGCCGTGTCCTGAGCACGAAGGATCCAAACAGTCAACTGAAACAACGAACGAGCAACTGTTAGTTTTGCCGCGCGCGAACGATTTTCACGCAATGAGGTAAAAGCTGTGTGAAATATCAAGTCGATTCATTGGCCTCGGTCATCAGTTTTCCCCTGTGGAAAGAAACGCCCCGGAGCTACAGAGAGCTCTCGTGATCGTCCTACTCTACGCTGCGGTATACGTGTCGAAAGTCGCAATGTTTGGAGAAGACACCATATTCCGAATCATGGCGGAAATTATTGTTCTCGTCTCTGCTCAGGAATATTTATGCGATCTTTCCAGAACCTATGCTCATCCTCGCTTTGCGCGTCGAACCTTGTTTTATATCATGGAGTTTCGGAGGGCAACAGTTTGCTATGGCGATCCAATTATTCTTGGTGTGGGGGATAGCCTCGTTCGGATGGAGAACTTGCTCGTCGGGAGCTACCTGTCTACGATTTCGTGCTCCGAGTGAGAGCGAGACGAAGTGTGAATGCGGGAGCGTTCGGGCAACGTCGGCACCCCCCTCCAGGAGGCATGTGAGGCATAGAAGCTGTCATGTGCAGGTGTTCCGCATCGTCTTAACAACCGACGAGAGTCACAGATGAAAAGCAAGACCTCCACGAACGATGGGCAGGACATGTTTAAAGGAGGCAAACAACTTCCGTTTTTCCTTGCAACCTCTTGACTCGAGACTTTGAGGAGGAAAAGTGAAAAGAGAGGCGGATGTGCGCGAAGGGCGTCGGGACTACGAGGACGAAGGAAGAAAAACGGAGCGGAAACGGTGCCACGGGAAGATTGGGGAACTCGCGTCAAAAAAGAGCCGCCTTGCCGTGACGTTGCACGACCCACGGCGCTCTCGACGTAGCGCGGGATAGAAAAACGCGTAACGCTTGACCAATGAGAATCTGCTCGTGGGAGGGAACGACGAAGACAAAGGGAGACGCTTCCGTCGCTCGAAGTTGGTGCGACATAAGAAGATTTCGGGCAATAGATACTCCGCAGAAGTCTGAGCAGGAGAGAGAGCGAGTCATGGCGAAGAGGAAGAGGATTGAGGAGCTCGAGGGAACACGATGATGAAAAGGAGACCCGAGAATTGGGAGACACGATGACAACGAAGAGGGACTATGGGGACGGAGGAACGGAAGAGAGGTGGGGAAGACCATTATTTTTAAATGATCGACACTTGAAAGAAAACCCGCCTCAGTGGTAGCTCGGTCGCTTGGTCGACCGTCCGCTCCCGAAACGTCGAGCACTTTATCTCCCAAATTTTCTTCCGCTGAAAACTTCTCGCCAAGGCTCGGACTGCTCCAGTGTCCGAGTCCGCTCGTTCAAAACACTCTTTCTCGGGAAGTTGCCGAACCGAGAGGAGAGCCTCTCCGTTCCCGTAACTCTTCCCCGGAGCATTCCTCCCATCTCTTCCAACTTCTCTGTGCTTTTTCCATCCACTCCCTTGTCGCCGACGGTCTCGATCGCGTCCTATCTCCTCTCCGGCGGCGTTATCCAAGTCCTCATTCCCCGATTTCTCCCCCCCCCTCAAGGTTCATCCCTTTCGAGTAGTCCACCGGTTTCCATCTTTTATCTATTTTCTTTTCTATCTTTGCTCTGCTCTTGCAGTGGCGGACGGGGACAGCTCCAGTCGACAGTGGATTCGGATTTTTTATCCGGACGGAAGTACGCGGCCGATAGACTTGTGGGTGCCAACTTCGGCTGACAGCCGTAATATCGGCTGCAGCTGTGGTTTTCCTACTGGGCACCCAGCTACTTCTGCTTTCGGTCTTCCCCGGTCGCGCTTCAGTCAGTTTAGCAGTCAGTCTTCCAGCCTATCCGCGAGGTTCCTCCCTCCTAAAAACTCTCTAAATGAAAAAAGAGCCAGACGACGCAACGCTGCTCCCCGGACGACTGCCGACTCCCGCTGCAGAAGTCACGGGCGGGTGAGTGGGTTGCGCCGCTGGACTCGTGCCGGATAGTATCTTCTCCCTGTCTCAACCGCTCCGCTCGTCCCTCTCTATAAATTAACTCTTCGTCCTCGTTGTATGTTGCTCCCAATGCTCGCCTTTCGGCTCCCCGCTTTGTTCCCTGATAGAAACACTCGCTTCTCTGCTCCAGGGAATGGGGAAGGAACATCGGAAGAAGGAAAAAGCAGAAAGAGCGAGTTAGAAGGAGTGCGAGGGAGCGGACCGATGTTGCTTTCCCCTCCACATACTCCCTTCAGACGTCGCAGTAGCGACACCGCCTCGGTCCTTTATCGATCTCTATTCTCGTGTCCCTTTGTACAGAACCAGTGTCTCACGTACAGAAGAGCGAAGCCATTCTCCTTTGCCGGCTTTGCTTTGTGTCGCTCATTCCCTTAATCAATCCCGTTTCGAGCGTATTCGGTACGACAAGTGTTTTGTTCAGTTTACGCGATGCTTTCCTTCTGAGTGAGCGGCATCGCTGATGTACCGCGGAGACTTGTTTGATCGCAGATCGACAATGATGGCGAGCGGGAAATCGAGGATGTTTCGAAACAACCTGGAGACACTCGTGATATCTGAGAGCCTGCTCGCAAGCAACGCGCCTCATTTCCAGTCCTGAAGTTTTCAATGGGCATTACCAGACACGGGGAGAAGGCTGAGGGGGAAAGAAGCTCGCGGGCCGCTTTGGTGAATTGTTGGCAAGTGATGCGTGAAGAGGAGATACGCGACGAGATAGATTGATGAGAAAAGAGGAGACTTCGGGGAAGGCGGAAGGATGAAGGAGGGATATCAGTCGCAATCAGCAGCAGCACCAGCGTCAACGGCAGCCGCAATAGGAGCTGATGTGTCTCTCGAGTCTGGCAAGTCAACATTCGTCCTCGGGGAAACATCAGCGTTCGTTCGTCCCATCGTCTGTCCGCCAGTTCGACCAAACGCCCACGCGCCTGGCTGTCCCGCCGGCGTCCAGAAACCAACAGCCGAGGGAACGTCGCCGTCGCCGCTGCCACCGCCTCCGTCCGAAGTTATAGCCACCGCAGCTCAGGGCAACCGAACGGAGGAAACTAACGATACGGAGGTGGCTGGCCGCGCGGCCTGACGTTCGTCAGGCTTCTTCCTCCCTCAGCCTTGCCTGCCGACCTAGCTGACGCGAGTTGGCTCGACTCGGCCTGCCTGAACAAAATAAGTAAGTCTCTGGAGGGAGGAGACGCTCCCCGAGCAGGATGAAGGGAAGCGCCACAAGAAGGAGACAGCCCCCACGATGACGGCGACGACTTCCGGCAAGCCTCTCTGCTGAGCTTCTGACCCTGAACCGTCACTTGCAGCACCAGGGCTCCAGTTCTGCTTCTGAGTAGCGGCTACAAGCGACGATTGTTGCACTTGCAAGCGACGGTCGTCGGAGATCGGTCAGGAAGTCTTCGCCTCGACTCCTGCAGCGTGATGCTCGATGTCTATGGAGCCGAAGAGCATAGGTGACTGTGAGAACTCTCAGATCTGCATTCGTTGGGAGATTCCGGCGTACACAGAAAATCCGTTGAGAGCGGACAGCTAATTAAAGGAGATTTATATAGAATTCCGTTTCGATGGACCGGGCCACAGCAGCGTTTGGAACAATACGGAGCGGGGGGTTAGGGGAAATCTAGTGCCTCTTCCTGCGAGGATGTCCCCCACGGCGAACAAAGAACGCGGAGTACCATTGAGAGCCGGAGGAGCGTTGCGTTGTCGCTAAGGTTATAAAACAAGTCCCAAGGGTAACGATAGCGAATCTTTCGCTGCTCGCAACGCAGGTCGGTCGTTTGCACGTCGAACCGGAAATTCTGCGGAGGTAGAGATGCGTACCGTCGAATCCTCTCTCCCTCCCCCTCCTCGTTCGTTCTCCTCGCGGCGCTCCGCGCTTGCCGACGAAGAGAACATAACAGAGACGCACATTGCGGGCTGCGATGTATAGCGGTCGACGAATATCGACCCCCGCAACGTTATTCGAGACGCCAGAACATTCCTCTACTCGCTCCGATCCCCACACCGACAGCGTTTGGAGTTTCGTACCTTTATAGAGACACAAATCCTCCGTCAATGCGAACGAACACAAAGAGAAAAACTCTGACGCCTCCGACGGAAAAACGATACCCATTCGGAGGTGGCAACGCGAACTACATATATAAAAAAAAACTAGTCTACGAAGAGTTCGGGCTCGGTGTTCTAGTCGTAAGGTATGAACGAGCATTGATCTTGAGACCCCTGAGCCCGTGTGTCGCTTCGCGCCCGAGCCCCGAGCAAAATAGCGTCCAATGCCATTCGTCCCGTCGCTGCCTCAGAAGCTCACGTAAGCCCCACGTAGAAGAGAGAGCCGTCTTACTTATATTAGAGTCTTATTATAGTCATAATAATAAAGCCAGCCAGCCTGCCCGCCAGCCGGTCGGTCACCTAGTCCCGCATGCCCTGCCGTTAGACGAACGGTAATCCCCGTGGCTCACGACGTTTTTTACTCAGCAATCAGATGCTCCACGGCACAGGCGACTCGGTCATTCGAACCTTGTGCTGACTCCCTGTCTTTATTCCTCTCCCCGTTTTTGCCTGACGTCAGCACCTTCAGAACCCCGTTTTGCCTCTAACTGAGAAGAGAATCTATGCGGAACGAAAGAGGAAGCGCTGGTATATCCTATAGTGAACGCTTGATGGCTGAAGTTCATCGGGTTAATGGTCCGGTGAGCGGAGCCGGGATTCCGCCATTGTCCAGAAGAGAGTTACGCAAACTGGTTCGCTCCCGTTTTTATGCATGAGCCCCCTAATCGTAGCAGCATCGGCTGTGCCGGGAATTGGATGGGAACAGCAAATTATTGAATTGCAACTCCCTCCCGACGAAGACGCGCAAGGCGATTCAAATGCTCGAGTAGCGTTCCGTCGCTCGGTGTCCTGGTCTGACCTCTTTGGGCAGTGCTGAGGACACTCAAAGGTAGAGCCAAGGCGTAGACGACATCAGGACGAGGCAAACGCTCGGATCGAGCTACTTGAGGCGGCAATGCGCACCATTCCCCATTGGCTCTCTATCGTCGAGCGACGGCCCCCTTCGGGACAAACGGAGTACCCGAGCTACAGCTGACCCAGTGCAGGCAGGAGAGTTTCTTCTTTCAAAGTCACGGCTAATGTAATCCGAGCTCGGGATGCAACATTTACCAGAGCCGTCCCTCGGTCCCAGGCCGAAATAGCCCCGATGCGTCACTGCTTACAACGTGACAGCGAGTTTCGAGTTGGCTACGCGACGAGGATTTCATTACGGTGACACCAGAGTCGACTAGTTAATCACGGGACGCACGCCGGGTTTTGAGGTCGCATTAAAAATGTCATATTCTTGTCTACTGCCCTCGGAAGAGCTCTTCTCTGACGGCCGCCCCGCAATCCACCAACTCACGCTGAATCACTCGACCTTTATCAGACACGAGCAGAGCGGAATTGTTAAACACAGGCGGTCGCATATTTTTGCTCTATCCCAAGAGAACAAAATCTCCTGGAGAGGTATCGAAAGCCTCCGCGGAGAGAAATCTCTGAAGGTTCCATCCTCTCTAGACGGGAACTCACCTCTTTCACAGGCCGCACCCGAGAAGCCGGGCTTGCAGACGCATTGACCTCGGTTCGAACAACGGCCGTTTCCGTTGCAATCAGGGACTTCACACTCTTTCTCGGGAACGCCGCACTCGACGCCTTTCCAGCCCGATTCGCATCGACAGACGCCTTGCACGAAGCGGCCGTGTCCATTGCACAGCGTCGGACACACACCTGGAAAAGGAAGCGCTAAAATAGATTCTATTGCCTTCATTCCTTATCGATCATCATCGCACACAGTTGCCGGGAGCGTGCCCGGAGCTCCAGCCCGAGGACTCCTCTATCGTTTTCAAGCACCGCTCAGTGAATAATCTAACATTGGACACGTGGCAGATAAGGGAAGCAGTGAGGGTTTTGCGTTTCCACTCAAAATCTTCATCGCAATTCCTTACGTCTCGCTCTCGCCAACCGTCTCCGGAACAGAAATGCGTCACATGCGTCTCACGGCCATAAAAACTTGATGGACCCCTCCATCTGATAGACACCGAGAGAGAATCCAGCTTGCACTGTGGGAGCACACGGACACAACGACCCGCTTGCAATCTCGGCGAAAGCGAGCGCACTTCGCTTGTCAGTCGGTCAGCTGTCCCGTTTGCTGGCCTATGGCTCGACCGGCGCCGACGGTATCGTCGTGCGTGTCTCGTTTCAGAACCATCGCACCCCTACCGCGGCAGAAACTACTGCTGCAGCGATTGTCAACGCGCACAGCTACGGTCGGACGACGGCGATGGCGGCAGCGGCAGCAGCGTGGTGTGCGGCACGGAGAACATACAACAGACTTTGCGCACAGGAGCGAAGGCACACGTAATAACATTGAACCTCCATGAAAGGCAGCCGCGGTCCATGCGTCGGTCGTTGCAGCAAGAGCAGGAAGCATGCACTTCATTGTTGTTGGAAACGACGCAATTCAGAACGAAAAACCAGTCGGCCAGCCGAGAGTCCAGACCGGTTTTCTCGCCAGACCCTCCACCGAGTCAGATACGAGGAGAGGCCAGAGCCCCTCGAGCCTCTTTCTCATGCAGGCTTCAAAACTAGCCGTGAGTAAGCAGCTATTCCACTCCTGCGTCCCCGCTCGATAGAAGAGCCTCTGGCCAGCCACCGTCCCGGCGGACCGTAATCTGCAGCGTCATTCAAGCGTCTACTTTTTCCACGTCCGAGCACTGAACACATACGCAAAAAATCTCCACGAGTTTGGCGGATCCTGACAGGGGCCTCTTTGAAAAACAATGCCGTAGGTATGTACGCCGAGTATATGAGACCGACCGACGAGGGAGCTAAGGCGTCGACGACAGGCGCATGTGGGACTCCGAAGTCGTCACAGACCAGGGAAGCGATGTACGGATGCAAACCGTCGCCGCGAGACGGTATCCGAACCGAATAGATATTCGACGGCTATGGAAGCGTCAGTAGCAGCCGCAATCGTGATCGACGTCATCCACCGGCAGACAATACGCAGCACGGCGAGAACATTCGTTGCACTTATCGCTGCACAGTCATTCGCCGAGTATTGCCCATAACTCTTGTCACGAAGACCATTAAGGTGAGGGGCGCGGCGGGAGTAAAAAGCAAGCAACTTCCTGAGAATACCCGCGATCCGCGTCTCACCTAACGAGCCTGACGAGATAAAACAAACTTCTACCACCATGCACCGCAGGGAAGTTTCGGAAGGGAATGACAGAAATACGGCGGCGCCGGCGGCAGAATGAGCCCGCGCATGGAGCAGAAACCCGAGACCCAGAATAGAATGATACAGAGACAGAAGAGATAGGTACATATTCGATGGGACCTCCGAAATTTTGCTGCCTCAAATGGTCGAAGCGATGCATGGGACGAGCTCGCTTAGTCAGAGGAGCACTATCCCGGAGTCATCTGGAAGCAGCGGATGGAAGTCCGGGGAGCTAACGTGACTTCTCTGGAGTCCTCCACGCCCGACGAAAGGGCTCCCGCTTCATATTGGATTCGAAGATTCGAAAACTGCTTCAACACTGACCGGCCGTTAGGGACTGACTCAGGCCGGAGAGTGGAGAAAAGAGAATAACAGAAGCGAACCAGAAAGGAAGCGCGCGGAGCAACGCTTGCTTTTAGTGAGCTGATCGTACGTCATATTTACGAGCGGTGCTCGTGGGAAAAAGCACATAAATTGTGCCAATCGGGACCCTGCAGCTCCACGGACTCTATGAGCTCTCCTCGCGTCTCGTATCTCTCCGAGAGAAATTGACCCGTTTTTTTCCTCTCTTCCTGCGATGCCCACGGTGTGAGAGCGTTTTACATTGTTCAGGGACTTCTCTCGTGATATGAATCGTTTTTTACGACATACTCGGACGAGGAGCATGCTGGGATCACATATCTCCGCAGCGGTTCCGTTCGCTCGTTCCTTCGTTCGTCCTGCTCCTCCTCCCTCCGATGTCCAAAACCGAAGCTCACTATCGAATCAGAAACGAGAACGACGAGGAAATTCCTCAGCGATTGCAATGAAACTCGCTGTCTATCATGCAATACATCAATTCCAGTCAACGACGGCAAACACAGCACTGAATGCGGAGGATGAAGTGGGTCATTGGGGCGGCTTCGGATCGGGACGCATTTAATGAGAGAGGTCGGCACTCGCAGAAAATGACGGCGTAGCGAGTTCATAGTCTTTGAAGTCTTCAGGCGGCGAAACCGAAGGCCCGTCCGTCCGTCCGGCTGCGCCAGTCGGCGGAGAAGGTTCACCACTTTCCCCTTTCAGTTTCTCTCTGGCTTCCCGCAGGGGATAATTCCCCTCCAGATCGAGTGGTCCCGGGTGAACAATTTTCACATAAATTACGACACTCAGGAACGGGACGCAGAAGCATCGAGGGGCGGAAGAAGGCTGATCTAGCATCCGAAGACCCTTCAGCCTCATTCCGATCCCGCTCCGAGGGAGAATTTTTCTTCTGCGGCGGAAGGAGGCGAACCTTACAGAAAAGGCCGCGCTGCAACATCCGATCTGTAAATGAAGTCCCGTCACTCGGCGGACTGGGCGGGCAGGCTCGAATTTTAGAGGGGAGCCGCGCCGCTGTCCTGTCGTGCCACTTGGTTCCCGTTGGTGGGTACGCAGCAGACGGAGGGGGCACGCGCTCCACACTTTAATTACGGCTGTTAATGGAAAAGAAGAGCTTCTCTGGGGTACCGCCAGCCATCGCTAAAGCCATTGATGTAGACGCTGCTCGTCTACATCCGAGCTCAGAGGAAAAATCAGACAGACCTCCAGCGAACGTAATTATCACCTGAAGGGAGAGACGGAGTATAGAGCACGGAAGCGAGACTGTTGTAGGTGAGGAGCAATCTCGCTCACTCCGAAGTGTTTCGAGAGATATGTGGAGTCAATGTAATAATCGCTCATTGGAGCGATTGGTTGTATTCAGGATGCCGAGGCAGAGATCTTCGCAGAATTCTCGGAATCTGTTCGCAAAGCGACAGGCTCCGAGGGCTCTCAGAGATTCTGCCCTGAATGAAGTTCGCAGGCAAGCTTGGAAGCCGAGCTCCATCCTCCTCGATTCGGATGCTCTTCCCTCATCCGCTCATTCGTTCGTTCACTTGTTCGTCGGACGAACACAACGAACGGTGTCTGTTCCTCAGAAGGTAAATACATATTGGCTCCAGCTAATGAACAATAAAAACTTTGCACACGGTTCGCTCTATGCTTCGGATGTATCTGAGCTGACCAGGTCTTGGAATACGGCACTCCTTTCAGGTCCCGCTCTTGCGCTATATTCCCATGCTGGTATACAATCGCTCGGCCGCATTTCATTCTTTTCCGCATGCGGCATCGCTATTCATGCGGAGGAGGGGCCTCGCGTGGGTGCTGCATGTGTACATATAACAACTTCTAGTAATAATAACAATAATAATAAACATCCGGGGCAATTTTCCCCCTAAACCTCAGTCCGGGTAGGAGCGAAAGTCCCTGATATCCGACTTGAGGCGGATAATAATCATTTGAACCAGGCAGACGCGGTAGTTTCAATTTGAAAGCGCTTTAAGAGATACTCACTGTCGGAGCAGTCAGATCCTGAAAATCCGGGATGGCACTTGCACTTGCCCATCTCACAGTTGCCGTGTCCCGAGCAGCCGTTCGGACAGTCTGAACTGACGTCGGAGGCCACTGTGGCGGTGACGGCCATTGTTGTTTCGAGGAAGTCATCGTTAATGATGCTGAGATACCACGTGCCGGCCTCTAGGTAGTGGATGAGTTCGACTTCTTCGAGCTGCAAGGAAACGATCAATTGCTCATTAGGAAAGGCGCACGTATGCTTCAGTATTCATTATTGTTTTTGTGCTCTACGAGATAGGTGGAGGATCATATCTGCGCAAAATCATAAGTTTGGGGAAAGAGATGGAGACAGAACGAATCCCGAAGTTTTCGACATTCTCGTAATCGACTCTGATAATGCTCCGGAGGCAGCGAGGCCGAGGCTAAGAGACGACGAAGAACAGCGCACACTTGTGATTCGGTTTTCATCGATCCAAGGACAAGGGATCGCCAATCGAACGTCTCGATCACTGGCCAGTACAGCTATACAATATGTTGGTCGAGCCTTCTGAGCGAGGAAGTGATCCGATCGGACGAGACCTCTCGCGTCAAAATATATAATAACGTCGCCGTCGTCGCTTTCGGCCCGAGAATCGAAAAGATTGTGCCAAAGGGCCACAGGCGACGATCAACAATCGCCGAGTTGCAGGCGTACGGGGGCTCGCAGACTTTGGGAAAAAGTTCTTCGGCTGTTGATTCAGGCATCGCTGCCACCGTTCCCGCTGCTATTCCCGTCGTTCGAAGCGGAATTCTATCCAGAACGGTGCGACAGGTTGCATAGCTCCTTCTGGTGATTTGGAAGAGCCAGCGCTCGTCTCCAACGTCGACGCGACGTTCTTCCTCTCGTGCCATGTCAATTTAATCTAATGGCCTCAACGGCGGATTCCGTCGACGAGGATACGAAAACAGGAAGAAGCCGCGGACGATTTCGATTTTCTACCTTCGTTCGTTTGTTCGTTCGACACAACAGCGGAGCGGTTCGGAGGGAACGGAGGAACGAACAAAGCTAAAAGCTCTTCTGATGTGGAAGGAAGGAGCGCAAACAAGCAAGCAATCTGCCTTGCAGATGCATTGCACCTGCAACGGAAGCGTAGCCCGACCCGATTCGGTTTCTCCGAGTCGGGTCGCCGGGCCTTCTCGTGCGGGAGGTGGCTATCTCATTTTTCTCTCTTACGCGCTTCCGGGCTGGCTCGCTGAGGCTCGGCTGTCAATCACGGCTCTCGTCCGTCGCTGTCCCTCTGAGAAGGTGGACGGACGGGCACACGATGCAAGGACGGGTGAAGAAACGAACGGACTGGAGAACGATCGGCAAGCCTACCGATCGGTCGTTGGGATGGGCGAACGATCTGGCGAGGATACGACCCCAGTCTCCGGGATTCGCTGTTCGGGACGAATGCGCTCACAGACGAACTGACGGACATGGGCTTTCATTGCCGAGGCCGGCTGACAGCCCGACTGAACGAACGAGCCAGCAAGCCTGCTTGCATGTACGACTGACGAGCAAATAGTCAGTCAGTCAGTCACTCACTCAGATAAACAGACAGAACAGATAGAGACGAGCGCATGCTTTCGCGCACGCTCGCGGGTGCATTCCGGGTGTCGCGTTCGTTTCAGCGCGCTTACATTATCGCACCTGAAACGACCGCAGCCACGAAAGGAATCCGACAAGTGACGGGGCAAGCGAACGAACGAGCGCGCGACACCGGCAGTGAGACAGACAGATCGACTGTCAGGTGTATACACGGACAGCGAGATGAATAGATGAGAGCGCCGAGCTACAAATGACCAAACGAAGCAGAAGTTCGCTCAGGGGGAGCCGGAAAGTGATGCGGTCCATCTCGTATCGCATCGTTGCGGTGTCGGGAAGCGACGGATATGAGCGTTCCATGCAAAGACTTCGGGTCAATGAAATCAATCCAGGGCGGGGGTCAAAACTGAGTGAGCGAGTCGTAGACTTAGGCCTCGCAGAAGTCTTTATGTCAACACATTCTGCTCGGGAGTTTCCACAGCGCTGTGTGCCTGGGCAGACTGCTGGGCCCACAGGACGGCGAATGGAGATGCGAGGAATTCACTCCCGCCCACCCCCGTCTCTCTCTTGCTCCGCTCGATCGCTCAAACAGTCAGACAGTCCGTCAGCGGAAGACTGGCAACCTTGGCTTCGTCTCTACAACGTCCTTTGTTCTACTTCCTGTCAGGAGGGCTATTGTTTGAAATTGCGATTCAGCTCGCTGTGCTTAATGAAAGCGTTGACGGATCTTCTCGGCTCACGCCACTGTGAACGCTGCTGCTGCTGCTGCTGCACTCGTCACCAGCCGAACGACAACAGGAGGCTTGACTCGCTGTCTACCGGCGGTAGGTTCGCCGAGCTCGGGAGCGGCGAGCTCACTCGATGCCTCAGACCCGAGTCGCCTCGTTCGTCAATCGGGGCCGGCCGCACGCCCGCCCGCCCGTCCGCCTGCGACAGCCACGGGTCGGAAAGCTCACCGGCGACGACGAACAAACGAATGCTCTGTGGACTTCCACCACACTTTTCACGGTAATGCGCTGCTAGTGCTCTTGTCTCTCGTTTCGTAGTCGGTGTCGTAGTTTGCTGAACGACCGGCGGCACGCTCCGCTCGCCCTCCCATCCTCGGTGCCCTAGAGGCTTCACAATAAGGATTTCCTTCAATTGATTTAGAAGCGGAGCCTTGGGTTGCTTGTTTCTGGCTCGAGGAGGAACCAACCGGTCCGTGATGGACCGGGAGACAGGCACGGGGGGATCTTCCCCGTCGACGCTGGCGCGGGCGCTCCAATCTCGCGAGTATCTTTTTAGTTTTGTTATCCATTCTCGGAGGAGATGCAATACTGCCTCACGACCAGCGGCGACGACGACGCAACGATAAGTCGGCTCCGAGCGACGTCGAGATTCGACGTTCTAATTCCGTCGGACGAAGGCAACGGCTAAGATTCGGTTCCCTCTCAATGGGCGAATCAGGGATATCGAACGTATTCGGGACGAGAAAAGAAACGTGGAACTTGCCCCTATCGCGCTCCGTCGGCGCGCAGACATCCTCGCACAATGCAACAACGTCATCGAGCGGGAGGGAAGAGAAGAGTTCAGAGAGAGCCCCGCAGTCCGAATCAGGAAACTGTCCGACTGGTAGCGAGCATCGAACTGATCTGAGATCAAAGTCACATCGAATCCGAGTGCGATTTGCATCTCAATGCTTCCTTCGCTTCGGCTTCGCCGAACGTTCCAGCAGCACTCCGTTACGCTCTCCGACGGACCGTCTCCATTTCCCTCCCATTATTTCTATATTTGAATTCCTCCCATGGATGACTGATCGTTCCGTCGAAAAATGAATAATATTGTCTCATGTCTTATGCGTCGAGAATCCCCGCGTGGGACTTTCACTCGATCGATGATTTGGGATGAATGACTTTCGGGATGAGCCAGCTTCTGGAATTCGTTGCGAATCAGGAGCTGGTTCAGGACTTTCATAAAATATCCCGGTAGGCCAGGGGCCCTCGACAGGGCTCTCCTTCGACAACGTTTCCGCGTGAATACCAGCCCGCACAGCAGCCCTCCCTTGACCAGGAGTTCTCTCCACGGGTTTTCTCTCAGAAGTCTAGAGTTTCCGGTGAAGCAATCGGAGCCCATGAGGCGACGTTCGCCGCACACGAACTCGTTCGAAACGAGGTTTCACACCTGTCTTTCTTTGAACTCATTCCCAATTTTTTGTCGAACATTGAATCCCTTAAATCACATTCATCCTCGGTCGTGTTCCCTTTTGTTTATTCAGAGCCCATTCAATACGGTACGGAGCGTTTCCCTTTCCGGTAGAACTCAGTCAGCTCGAGCTAAAGTTTCACTTTTCGGGAAAGCGAAAGATCCAATTCGATGTTACTCGATTATTCACCTTATCGTTTCCTTGCTGCTTCTGTGGACGATTATGCATAACTCCACCATGAGCGACAGACCGGTGAGTCTGGTGCTGAAAACACGCTCTGGAGCCCACCGTCGAACGAGCAGTCAGCCAGCCAGACCGATGGCGCGCGTGCCTTGGATATGTACGCGCGGATATATTTCGGACGTATCCTCGGCCGGGGAGGCACGAGAAGCTGCTCGCTCTTTGAAAAGGCGACCGGAGCGGCTTTGGTTACCGGCAGCTGAGGACGCGATTAATTCTGATAGATCATTAGCTTCCCAATAAGCCGTGGCAGCCTCAACTCGGAGCGGGCAGGCCCGGCAGAGATTTTCTCTGCGCCGCCGCCGTTTTGCCAAAAGCAGCCCCTCATAACCTTAGCCTCCACAGTCGGCGGCTTCGTCGTCGTCGCCGCCGCTGGCTTTTATTATTGGCGTCATCATCGGGACGGATGCTGTGTTTTGGAACAAAGGGCTGAGCTGCAACAGTAACGACAACAACGGCGATGTGAAATGAAGGGACGTCGCATTGCTGCGGCGAGCAGCCCCTGCATTGGGTGGTCGTGGCCACGGCCACTCCAGCTGATTACGGTGCGCGAGCGACGGGGCTCGGGCGATCGAAGGGAACAGCCCAGATCCAGATTGGCAAATAAAGATCCACTGATTGTACTCAATGGACGAGGATGACGGGCACTATGGTCAATTTCTTTCGTTTCCTTCTCATCCTTCACCCGGAGCATCCTTTATCCGAGCAATGAGGACAACCAGCGTTTGAGTGGCTCATTGTTATTAGCATTTAACTATAGAGATTGCCATCTCTCATCATGGACCCAAATCAATGCGTTGCGTCGATCAAGTGAAATTGTTGCTTCTGCTGCTTTGCCTATTCGGATGTGTCCATCGTAATTACAGCTTCCGATCGAAGCTCAGACGTTAGGTAGGGGGTGCTCGTCCACGCGAAGTCGTCGCCCTCTGCGGGACTTCCTGGTGCTGGGAATTAGGTAAACACGGAGCGGAGCCATGGACACGACCAATGGACGAGGAAGTCCCCGCTATGGAAGCAGCGACGAGGTGGACGAGGAAACTCGAGCGGGCGGGCATGTTCGGACGGAAATTAACAAAAATTGGCACAACTCGCATTGGCAACGACCTGTCGAAGGAGCCGACTGCCGAGAGCGCTTACCGTCATCCCGACTGCTCTCCGAGACTTGGTTGACATGTGGAACTCGGCGACCTGGGGAGCTTCACTGCTGATGGTCTCCCTGAATGCATTCACTGTCAACGTCGGCGGATTGTTCTTCCCGGCGAACAACGCTAATTTGCAGCCTTGTTGAGTTGTGACATTGAAGCGAACGAACGACGGCTCGTGGTGGTTGAACCAAATGTTCCACGACTCCTGCGGCGCGATCGTATGCGTCATCTCGTCGCCCAATTTGATTTGATTAAAACTTTCCGCTTGGTGAGGAATCAAACGGCAGCCAGTCGAAGCCTGTGAAGCTCCTGAAATCATAAAAAAATCAATCATCCTGCGTACCAAGAAGAATGACCATTTCATTCTTCCATGGCCGTATAATACGCATCCTTATATTCTTCAAATACTAGCTCTCGTAGCCAGATGGCAGCAACTTCTTCCCCGGATTTCGGATCGACCAGAAGGAGGATCCCGCCAATTGTTTTACGCTCGAAGAAAGAAGCTTCGATCGGGAATCAAGAGGAACGAACGTTTCGAGTCTGTCCTGAGAAGATTGTAACCTGACGGAGATGTGCTCAACAAATCTCTGATCCGGCCCGAGAGCCGTTAATCATTTCACTTGTGAGAGGATCTGCGCTTGCGATTCTGCTCCGATCAGAGAAATCCAATTTACATCGAAGTGTGAATAGATTACGACTCCCGAGACGGAGAGGGAGATGAAAGGGAACGAGAGGGCTTGGGACGACGGTGAATCGCTCGACGGAGCAGCATATCCGTTCGGGAGATATTCCGACGGTCGGGAGATTCTCTCCCTCCCTGAATCGAGGAAGATAGAAATCGGAAGCAGTCCACCGATGGTGGAAAGGAGCATATTCTCTGAATTGTCAGAGCGCATCACAGAATATCTACTGCTTTGTTTCCTGGAGCATATACGGCATATATCGTAATACTTCTCCCTCGAATATCAAATTTCATAGGTTCCGTTCGGTTCCGCAATCCCAACAAGGGCAAGGAATCTCGGCCGCCATAGCTCGAGCCTACCATGGCAGAGATCTGCGCCGGAAGCCCGATATCTACGAAGGAAGTATCATAGCCTTTGCTGAGCATCTCAGTACCGGGTACTAAAGTATTCGATATCGAAGAGCATTCGCATGCATAGAGAAGCCAGAGTATTGAAGCTTCGAATGGCTCGGAATGATTGACTCGTGGTCCAAGATCCTTGCCGGAGCCTCCACCGCGCTGTTTAATCTAAAGGAGACCTCCGATCGGGGAGGCGCTTCTTCGAGACTTGCCTTTGACTGCTTGAAAATCTGAAGACACTGAGGTTCGGTCAACACAGGGTGGGATATGCTGGAGCGCAGTTTCGTCCGTGACGCCACCGACCATGATGCAGTTGGAGTGATCTACCGAGGGGGTCGCGGCGAAATATCCAGCGAGTGTGGCCAACACAACTGATATCATTAGAAGTCCTAGGGTGGCTAGTCGCCAACTACACCGGTGACCTCCACAAGCCTTTTGCAAGTGGATCCGCGAACTTTCAATAGTCGCCGAGTTGAACAAGGCCGAAAACGGTCGACCCGGAGGCGTACTTTGCTGTTGCTGCTGCTGTTGCTGTTGTGCCTGGAGTTCGGCGGCTGCGGCTGCATTTATGCTCTGCTGGATCAATTGGGGATTGATGCAGTTCGGCACGGGGACCATCGGGCCGGTCGTGGAGCAGGGGGTCGTACAGTACACCGGAATAGTGTTAGAGTACGTCGCACTGCCCAGAACGGCCGTCTGGATGGCTGATGGGAGCACACCGGCATGACTCCGCTCCGTGGAGCCGCCTCCGCTGCTGTCTTTGTCACTGAGTTTCGATTCCTGCTGTGTGATGATGTTTTGTGGCTGGCAGTAAACTCTGAGGGGGGAAATATCACAGAAAACGTTAGCGGAAGGGCTCGATCCGGACTAGGCAGCTAAGCATCGATTTGACGAGTCGATAAATAATTATCAGTCGAAGCTTCTATCATCGACGGCGTAGTTTTCCGCCCGGACTGCTCGCTGCGTCACAAGAATCTGCTCGTCAATATCAAGCTTGAATCCAATGACGGCGCGTAGACGTCGATGATTCCGCCCGAGGGCCTGCACCGCTTGAAATATTGACGTCAGAGAGATCTACTTGAAGCAGCTCCTGATGTTCCGAGTCAGCGGCTGGTCCGATAATTAAAATCAAGTGGCTTTCTGGTCTGATGACTCTCAGGGCTCTCCGAAAGGCGCTCGAGTCATTCTCCTTCACGATTTCTTATTCTCCAGTCAGTCATTAAGTAGCGTTAGATCCGAATCCATTTTTCAGTCTGTCCGAGCGCGACATCCTCCAATCGCTCTCATCGACATCTTGAGTGAGTTCCGATCTTCTCTTCGCTCGCAGGCTCCACTGCGAGCCTCCGCCTAATCGAAATTCACCTTTCGTTTTCTCTCCGGTTGATCGAGTTGCGTAGCTGGTCCTCCGGATTGGTGACATCTGTGGAGGGAAAAGACAAAACTTCAGAGACCAGACCATCCTGGAACTCATCACACGCATGTCAATACAATCGCAACGCCTATACTACCGCCTGTGAGCCTCCGATACCTTCCCGCCCCCCTTCCCCAGAGTTTACTCAGTGAGTCCGGGTCCATTTTGAAGCCCCTCCCTTCCCCGGAAGATTCATGATGTCTTTCGGCCGAGCGAAACTTATTTTCCTCTGGAACGCATCGAAATCCCCCGAGCTCGAACCGAGAATGGCGTGTCGACCGGGAATCGTGAACTCGGGCATGTATTTCTGGGTGGAGACTTGTCACGACCCGCTAAAACACAGGCCATCCTGCCTACAAAAGGCCGTCATCTGGCTCGCGATAAATGGGAGTCCATCGGAATCTACCGAGAATCGACAGAACCCGCTCGGGACCGGTCAGAACCCCGGACTCTGCGGAGCGGCTCGAAAACAGCAGTCGGAAAGATTCTTCAAGCGCGATGAAGAAAAAAAACATGTCCAAGATTAGTGAGCGTTCTACAATGGGAAGGGAAAATCGCGGAGTCTGAGCGACAAGTTCTTCATCGAAGCTTCCGAGGCTGCTGATGATGATTATTCTGTCGATGATGATGACGCTCCCCTTGCCGGCCGGTCGCTGTCGAAAACCCGAGCGAGCAAACGAGCGGCCGAAGGCCCGTTCGTTGGTTTCATGTAAATAATGATAGGCCTTCCTATTCTCTCTCCGTCCGCTCGGTAATTACTCGTCCGCGCGCGGGCACAACCACGATGGTAGCGGCGACGACAACGACGGAAAGGCGTCGGCCAAGAACCAAGAAGACAATGCGGGGCGGGTCTTCTCCACTGAACTGATCTATGAGCTTTAACCACGCGGCTATTCTTCGCTCGTTCGATCTCCTCGAGCCGAACGTCCTCGCCGCCGCCTTCACACACCGACATTTCAATAATAGTATGGACCCGGGGCTCGCACCCGGTGTATTTGCCCTCCAGTCGGCCAACGACCGGATCCATAGGGATTTTCATTATGCAGCGCTTATAACCGTGCGTCACGCCGTCCGTGGACAGCACGCGAGCTGCGAAATCCCCCGAATCGTTGGCCGCACGTGCGGACCGCGAGGGGGGTCGAGCGGAAGGAGCCGACCTACAGACGAATGGAGTTTCTGGCGTGAAACAATCATCAGCGACGAACGCCCCCGGACTCAACAACTCAATTTTTGAGCTACGGGGGAAAAATAATTCGTTCTGCAAACGTGATCCAGTTCAAACACGGCGTACATTATTAGCCTGCATCGCAAACTGCAGATTGCAGCGAGCGTTGACGGTCCCGGCGCGGCGCCGTCGTCAAGACTAAGATGAGTCTCGAGAGCTCCGGGTCGGGAGCGCCGCTTCGGGTACCCTTCCCGCTGCTGAGATATCCGAACCTCTTTGCTCGCCCGTGGGCTCGGAGAAGCAGAAGAATTCGAGGAGGCGTTCCGATCGATATGGGGCTCCGGAGAGCTCCCTGAGTATGTCGCATTCTTGACCGAGGCTCCATCCTTGCCGACAGCTGGGAGACAAGCTGAGAAACTCCAGGCCAAATCACAACCGGGATTAGGCACGGATTCGCTTCGGAATGATGACGAGCTCTGAACGCTCGTTCGAATTCGCTCCACGATCTACACAGACGAGGCTGGACGGCGAGTCTGCGATCTAGCCGGAACTAATCGATATCAGAATCGGAATATGGCCCATCGAGTCTTACCTGGCGTTGCGTAGTGTCCTAAAACATCGGTCATGTACTCGCGATCGTCGTCCAGGATATCCTGACCGTTCTCCATGTAACCGGCGAGTCTGGCTCTCAGCGAATCGGCAGTCGAGTAATTATTCCTAGGAGGGACATTTGGCGGTGCAGGGTCCGGTGGACTATCTCTCAACGCTGCAAGAAGGTCATATAGGGAATCAGAGCATTGCGCAAGATCTACCATTCTGTATACAAATGTATGAGGTACAGGGGCTGGTCGATCACCGGTACATCCGGGCGTCCACCAGCCAGATGGACCGCGGCTTCGAATGGTGATCTCGATACCGAAATCTCTGATTTGCTCTCCCATGGCCACGTTCTGACTTGGAAATTCAATCGAATCTTACGAGACAGCCTCGTTCTTCCGGAAGTCAGCGCAGCGCTCCTGAAAAGTCGGGTGCAAGCCCGGGCTCGTCTTCGATGGAAACTCGTTCTAGGATAATAATTCCATCCCGATGCCTTGTGATCGAAGAAGAGATAGCGTGAAAAGTCCGACCGATGGAGTCTCAATGGTCTCAAATCGTGACTCGTAAGCTCCTACCCTTACATGAGTAGCTGAACCCAATTAAAATCGAACTCGATGTGGGAGCGGATGATTGAATCTTGATATGATCACGGGGTCATCGGTCCGGTGTCAGCGATTCTCGGCGAACGACACACGGGGGAAACCGATAACGAGATTCGAACTCTTGGCCGAGAATTGCGTGCAGGAAGCCGGTTCCTGTGTGTGTCTGTTTCCCACTGGACAGGATCAAATTCGAGGTGCCCTGGTCTCCTTCGCGAAGAAAATACATGAACTTCTGGAGCGGCTGCAGTGGCTCGTTACGTTGACGCACGAGGAGATATTGCGAGTTAACGCTGTCTGGGGACGTGGAAGTCATTTCTCCACAAGGTAACGGTGAAAACGACCGAAGTAGACTCGAGGGACCGACCTCCTCCACCGTGGAGGCCTGATAACGCTCTAACACCCACAGTGGTGGCACTAGAACTATCGGCCAGTTCTCTTTTCACCGACGTCCACGCCGAGTTTGCAGCTCGAGCTCTCTTGGCCGTTCGATGGGGTTATCACTGGACGCACGATACGCTGATCGAAGCTCCCCAAACTTTTTCCTGTAGGGAGCTAGGTCTCCCCACCACGTTCGACCGCCTGTTGCTGTGTTTATTCTTGCCTCGGGATCCTCAAAGCGCTTGTTTTTTCAACGCGACCCAGTCAAGATGACACAGAGTGTTTGTATTCAGGAGAATGTCTCCTCAGCTGAGCTATGAAAACATCTGAGCCGTCTTCGTGCCAGCTTCCCGATTGGGTCCTGTCGAGATCGTTGTAAATTTCTCGGTTGTCCCCTACGAATTTCCAAGGTGCCTCCAAGGTGCCACTCTTCGAGAGATCGGCTTGACATTGCTTATCTCGATGAAGAATCCAATTGCCCGTCTTCCACTATAAATTCCCGAGGGCTTACCCTGGAGACCTGGACGTATAATAATGAACGGGTTTCAAAACTGGCTCAGCCGCGTGGAAAGTTCTCCGAATCGTCGAGATTTTTTCGCCGAGAATCATGAGCTCTTGACGGCTTCATATCGTGCCCGAAGAACGCCGGCAACGATGGTGGCGGCAGCCGTGCTGGTGGTAATGGCAGTGGCAACCTGTTTCATAACCGCTGTCAGCGTCACAACAAGAGGCCGGTCGCTTGTACGTCTCCCGTTTTTTCCCCACCGCACAGTTTGTTGACTGGTTGACTGGCTGGTCGCTAGGTTCGCCACTCGAGAGATGTGGGGTTGAAAAGGCGAGCCCCAAGTTTTTCGTGGAAACTTTCGTCCGCTGGCTTCAGGTGGGTAATTTTTAGGGTGCAATCGTTGCTCGGCACGAAACAAAAAAAAAAAGAAATGTTACGAGGCAAGTGAAAAAACTCTGCTAGTGAACGGCACCTAGAGTTCCACGGAGGGCTGCTCTCCGCTCTCGACGCGCAACCGCGCGCCGCTTCGTGGGGGGCGCTTAACGAGCCGCCAAAACAACAAACGCCAACGCGACATGAACAAAAACGGCCGGACGTGCTCGCTCACAACTGACACCTGCCTTAATGACAGTGGTACTTTTTCTCTCTTCCCATTCCGAGCGATGTTCCGGATTTTTTTCGGTCCTCATGGCTGTCCCTGCTCATATTATCAGGAGTGTCCAAAGGAAGAGCACGAGATCGGAAAATCTCGCGGAACTCCAACAGCTCCGTGAGTCACGAGATCACGCTACCGAGATCATCCGGCGGCCCCCAGACCCTAAGTATTCGATCCTCATCGGGTTACCGGACTATATCGCGACCAGATCACGGGAATCTCCGGTTTTCTACCTTATGTGAGAATCGAAGGGAGCCACGTAGAGTCCCGCACCAGAACCGGTGCAGCGAAACTCCATCAAGATAATCCTGAGACGCGTTCTCGGCCGACTTCCCGACCAGGGACGGCGGTGGAGTGAACGAACAAAAAGATGGAGCAATAAATGGACGAAACTGCGAGCAAGGCATAGCCATTTGGTTGATGGTGAAAAAGACTTGAACCCTGGCGGCCTTTTACGACCGGGGGCAATGCAGATATTGCAAGCGAGTGCGAAGTTGCACAGACCAAAGGCGGCGCCCGCAGAATATCGTTTCTTGGAGTCATTGACGGCATGCATGGCGTGCGTTGCGCCGATTTGGGTTGTCGGCAACGGCGGTGCGGCGACGACAACGGCAGCGATGACGACGACAGTCAACTCTAGATGGCCGGCAAGTCGACTATGACCCCGCTCGGAACGGTTAGAGAGAAATACGGAGGGAATGCGTTAAACTCGCAGCTCACAGCGAAGGATCATTCTAGCTCATTTGCGGAAAACGACCAGCCCGAGTCGCGCCCCAGGCAAGCCGACACAACGGCAAGCCTATTATTTTTGATTAGAAAAGGAAATTGTACTCCGAGGGTCGATGTGGTGGTTCCCTCACTCTTTTCCGTACGAGCGAACGAGCGAGACTGACAGGAGCGGGACTCCTAAGCCTAACCGATGGAATTCCGTCGGGGGGTAAACAGAGACGCGGAAAGAAGGAACGCAACACGACGGTCGCAGCCATCGCAATCATTCCTTCCACGGAAACGCTTCCAGTGGAACGATGCGGGATTTCCAGCAAGGCGCACACGAATTCCGTGGAGCGGCACGGAACACGGCACGCAGGTCTGCCTCGCCGCGCGTGGCCCGACCGGTACGTCATGGAAGGATCAAGCGTAGCCACTTGGAGCACAAAAAGGAAACTCCGGTATAATCCATAAATTAAGATAAGCTCTGCGAGCAGGACTCTTCCACCCTCCAGCCGAATGTCTGCATGCCAGCTACGAAGCTCCGCATCAAGAACGGATACGACGACGAGGACGGAGGGACGCGCAGAGGAAGCCCGGCCGACGCGGGCGGAGGGAGGGAGCGCGCAGGGCTGGGCAATCCTTCGTTTTCGCTCTGGTCGACGCACATTAATCGCTGCATACAACGGTCGCATCGATCATGATAATACCCGCTCGGATGGTTGGTTCGGGCTCAAGCACAGTCGTCCTTCTTACCGCCTTCGGATCCTTTTCCTCTCTTCTCCGTACCACCTCTGCCGATCAATCATCTGTTGCTGCTCCCGCCGCTTCCACAGCCGCAGCTCACGCTTGAGCTCTGGAGCAGAGCTTAGCCGCACAATGGTTATGCGCTCACATACATATTCCGTAGCGAACAACACAACTATTATACCACTAGACCTCGATGGGAGCCCGAGACCCGGCGGATGCGAACGAATGCGAGAGGAAGCGCTCGACTTCAGTTCACGAGGGAATTCAAAGTCCAATGCCACGAGAGTCGTGACCTTTCGCGAAATGGGAAGCTTCAACAAAGGCTCCACAAAGTCCTCAGCGCGCAGCCCTTTACGTCCGGCGCCGCTCGTGCATTCCTCGTACCACGCCAGGCTGTCCTCCCTCAGCGCTGTCGATTCCTCGACAGCTCCTACGACGACTACTCCTACTCCTACTAATACCTCTGCACCGCTACCGCTCCCACCGCAGCTATACGAACACTCGAAACGTTGCAGCGCAGCGAAAGCCCTCGGGATCGAGCTCATTTTCTAATGGCTGCCTTCAACAGGATACTCGCTCTCCATCCAACATCTTCCCGTCTGCCTACTTCATATATATTATACATACGAGGCTACACTGACTCACTCGCACACATAGACATTTACGTCTCGAGGGGCATCTGATCAGCGCAATTTAAGTTGGGCACTCTTTTCTGCATCCCGGAATCGTCGGGACTGCCCTCGGTTTCCCAAAGTGAGTCGAGCCTACTTCCCGACCCCACAGTTGATGAATATGATATTACCGGTGTCGTCGACCGACAAGGATTCAGAGGGTCCTAGTCCCGGGTCCTCCTCACCTCGACTTAGAGTCATATTATCAACTTACTGGGTCGCTACCTTTCCCTCTCGAGTTGTTTTTTCTTCAATCAGATACCTCGATGAGCCTCCTCGTACTTATATGGACTGTTCGTATTCGAAACGGACGGATCTGCGATCGTTGGAACTTACTCGAATCCCTACTGGCTGCAACCATCCGACGGCTCTGAGCGTTCACTGGCAGATGGGCCGTTTCGCTGTCTGTGTACTCTGATTGGTTATCGGACGTCGACGAGGACGACGGTCCTCGCCGTAGACCCAAACTTTCGTTTCCAGTACGGTTCGAACGATTGGCTCCGTTCTGGCGAGCGTGCCCGTTACTCCGATGCCGTGATGACCCTTTAGTGCCATTCTGGCGTGGCAGAGAACCTGCAACAGCAGCAGCGATAACATTTCGCGGGAACTCGGAGCGTACGCTCCACTGGGGGACCCCGAGATTTCGGCATCATATCGTCGATTCGTTCATCGAGTTCCCCCTTCGCGGTGTAATGATGATACGAACGCTAAAACTCGATTAGAGTGTTCATTGTTCGGATGACGCTCGTGCACCGGGGTCTCCCCCGAGCGCTCTAGATTCGAGTGAACAAGATCGCGCGATCTCCCCGGACGTTCCCTGCGTCGGTGTCCGCGTTATGGCAAGCGGGACACGAAGTCTCACCTGTTCCGTAGCCCGGATATTGAGGTGGCGGCTGGAAGTCTTCGGTCGGTGGGTTCGAAACACCGTAACCTCGTGCATTGATCATTTCCATTGAGCTGAAGGATCCGTTTGTTGTACCATTGGGCGTGCTGCCCTTTCGGCCCTTCAAGCCCGTCCCGTTCCGGCCGGCGTCTGCAACGAACAAGAAACATAATCGAACCAGCAGGACTGATTGTTCCGATCTACTCATATTTTTATGACACGGCTAATGGTGCAGTCCATCCGTAAGAGCCAGCCGGGTTTCTCCTCGGATTGTGATCTCCGGAACAGGGAATATTTACGATATATGCGCCGCCTGCTAATTCAATAAGGGTATGCTCAGGGTAGAGCGTCACAAATCCATGTACATAGTATACATGTGCCGAGCATACGTTGCTCGGCGGAAAAAGAACGCTTTTGCTTCAATCGTATCGATCAGAGGAAATGGCTGAGCAGTCGAAATGATACTAGCAGTGACGCCGAACTTGTTTGTGCTATGGCTTCACGGAATACTAATGGCGGAATTGAGTGTGCGCCATAAAAATGCCTCTGAAGAAGCCGTGTCGGAATCTGCATCCGAGACTAGAGCTACGGAGCGTTCTTTTTACGAGGGACACCAACAGCGGAAGATTGGGAGAATGAGCCGAACACGAATGGAGACGAGTCCGTGAAGCCACTATTGCAGACGGCTTCCATCAATCCGAGCGGAGGGACGTTCCGTCTTTTGGAGAACAACTCTGAGGACACGCGCCTACGACCCGGCTGGGGAAAAGAAACCGACCAACAAACCACATTCGTCTCTGCGCTCTTCTGTGGATTCGGCCCCAAGGTTTGCTTTCGCTTTGTCGAACGGCCCTTTGCGTGCCGCTCCCACCGCTGGCGCCGCTTTAGTCTCGTCTCGTAACAAAGAATCGGCTCGTACGAAGAATCCTCTGGACGCGCGCAAGTCGAACAAAAATCCCGTCTCGCTTCGTCGTATGCCCCGGCAGCCGCATAAATCGAGCGTGATGGCCTTTCTACTGTCAGTTTTCTCAATAGTCATGGCGAGCGTTTCTCTCCCGCTTTCTGAGCGACCTAGGCGAGACACGAAACAGCGACGAATACATCGTAGGAATCGCCGCCATCGAGAATGACCACAACATCGTCCCGGCCGGTGAGGCCGATCCGGGACTTACCGCCGTATTTTGACAAACCGCGACATTAATTCCAGTGGGTCTCGAGTTTTTCGCGACGCCGCACCGCTTCGATCCGCTCGGAATGGTGTCGCTAAGGAGAGGCTTCGTGCAATGGTTACTCATGGGTTTCCCTTCTGCGTCCGCTGAGCTCTCATCGAACCGTATTTTACCAGAACGAAGGGTCGTAGATGGGAAAGAGCGGCCCGAGACTGTAGAAGATACGTTCCGCGAAAATATCCGCGTAGAATTGGAGCAGCGCTCGCTAGACCGCTTCAAGGGACGGAACAGCTGAGAGCGCAACTTCGAGGAAGACTGATTTTGCTACTTCTTACCCCTCTTCCAACAGCTGCTGCTCGCAAGTCCCTCCGCCCGCTGATCTCTGCTGCTCCTCTCAAGCATCGACTACGCCCGTCACTCGTCCCTTTGAGATCGCGAGGGAGTGGAGATTTCCAAATAATTCCACTCTCTTTGATATCTCCCCGCCCATCCTCGTCCAGAGCTCGTCAATCTGCTCGCTGAACTCCCCATCGAACTCGAGTTCCAATCTCCTTCTCCGGAGCGACTCGGCCCGGCCGTCGGTTTTTTATTCGCCGGGGACGAAAAACTATCTCTTTTCGGATTCCAGTTTCGTGGCAAGATTTCCAGCATTCACTGAGTCATTGTCCTTGAACCGAACCCCTCGCCGGGTTGGTTCATGAATATAAATCACGAAAAATCTGAAACAGCATCTCCGACGAGACTTCCACGCCACCGGATCCCGGAGTCCGACTCGTTCTCGACGCCTTCAGTTGCGAGCGGCTAATCCGCGTGCGTGCGGAAAAGCATCGCTGGTCTCTTACGACAAGATCAGCGGCAGGGTTTGCTAACGTACCTGGCTGCCTAGTCGGTAAATAGGTGAGAGAAGCTCCCGTCGAACCTTCACTGTGCCGAGCAAGTTCTGGTCGAATGACTTCCTGCTCCGACATCTGGCTCGATGGACAAAGCGAGAACTCAGCGTCCGCGCAGTCGGTTCCCTGCCGCCTCCGTCGGGTCGTCGACGTCCTCGTATTTCCATGGCCGTAAACAGCACGGAAGACCAATTTCAATATGGTAATGTCCGCATCTGCTTGCCAGCTTCTCGCTCTGCTAGCGGGTGAGAACTGTCTCTCCGTCCCACTGTCTCCCGGACTTTTTTTCCCTCGATGGATAGGCGCGAGGATGAATGAATGAATGGATGGATGGATAAACAGATGAACGATAGGTGGAAGGACGAATAATGCCCAGCTGAGAGGGTCAGACCCTTGCGAGAGTCGAAAACCTCTCCAACGGTGTCGTTCCGGGCGAGCCCGTTCAGTCCGGCGGCAGAAGCAGAAGGCGCAATATGAGGAGGAGGTAGCTCCGGCCTCATATCTTGCCCTTGGTGACGAGAGAATCTAATTCGATATGGAGTAGCTTGGCTACCGCTCGCAGAACACCGAGTGCCGTCGTCACCATCCGTGCCATGACGACGGGACGAGCTATAACGTATTTGATCCCCATCGGTCCCATCGACCAATAATAGATTTCGATCTCCTCTTCTCTGCCGATGAAGATCTCACAAAGCTGCAAATATTCCCCCACCACGAAGCTCTGTGCCCCTGCTCCCAGGACCTGGCAGGAGGATCCCGTGCGGATTGCCGCATCTCCGCGGACGGTTCGCTGTCTCGGAAAGCGCGTCCAAGGTCTCCATGGTTCCCGCTGACTATATATTCGGAGTGTCTCTTCCGTGAGGTGACACGGCTGAAGGAGCTCGCCGCGTCTCCTCACGGAAAAATCTACCCCGGAGAGATTATTCCCCATCAAGCTAATGAATTGAATGCTTCCGGCAAGCCTTGAGATTCCTCTAGCACGAGCGAGCAACGTTCCACGCAGAATCGCTCGCAAGAACAGATCAGCGAGCGAGCGAACATACATACATGTACAGCATCCGCCGTGCGAGCAGACGGACCTCATATCTGCTACGGAGAAAGAGGAAACCGAGGACGACCGTTCGTCCAATCGCCGACTGAGCGTCCTTGAACGAGAAACCGAGTTCCGACTGATCTGCATTACTCGCTACTTGTTGCTTTCCCATGTGGGCGAAGACGGATCTCGTATAATCAGAGCGAGTGCTTCACGACCCTCGGTGGCCATTCGAGGAGGAGGAATTCCCTTGGAAGATGCGTTATCTCCTCGGCTACTCGCCTATCCTCTGCGAGTCTATATCTCGCATTACGTGGAATGCCGTAAGGCTCGCGAACACGGCCATGAACGGCTTTTCCAGGGCAGTCGAATAAGGAGACTCTAGCAGTCAGTAGGCGGCGGGAAGATCCGCGAGAGAGCATGCATAAATAATGAATTCTCCAATCAACCTTCGCCAGCGTATCTTAGCGTTGAACCCGACATCGATGGAAACCATCGAGTACTGACATCGAAGTCCAAGACCTTCCCGTCTTCGTATCGTAGATGACCTACCGCATCCAGACCGAGTCATACGATAACCTGGTATTCACTCCCGCTCCAGGCATTGCTCCACCTCTTGTTCCCTTGGTTCCCTAATCTGAGGCTCACTCCAAGGTGAGAGATTATATTCACGATTCATCAATCTATCCATCCTGCCGTCGATCTATCCGGCGTCCCCCCTCAGTCTCTCATTCGGCAAACAGTCGGTCGCTCGTCCCCTCGCACGCTCTACCGAGAGCGATAACGATAGTCTTATCTGCCAATGATGAGCTAATGGTGCTTTAATGGTTAGTTCCGTCGCCCGATCGTTTCCTAAGATATCGACTCCTTGCGAGCCGGCCAAGGACCGGAAGAACGGATCGAAAATACCCGCAAGAAGAAGCTTTCGGAGCAGTCGGGGCGGCGTCAACGAAAGCTCGTGGCGCGAACGATTGCGAGACGAGAGAAAACTTTCGCAAATGATCGATGACGACTGCGAGAGGAGTCAACGAAACAATCAGCGAGTATGTAACACGTATGAGTCATCTGTCATAACAATGTTCTGTTCTCTTGTCATCGAAACGCAGCTATCGGAATCGGCTTGTTTCCTCCATGCTCAGTTCGGCCCCTCTAGCTCTAGCTCACACCTGTTCGGTGCAGCCTCGTCGTCCATACGGGTTCCGGCGGCTGATTTCCGACGCACTTCCGAGGCGGTGTGCCAATGAAATATGATTCCTTCGGGAGAATTCCTTTTTCTTTGAGATTAATACTATCAATCATTTTTTCCAGAATTTAAATGGACATATCGTTACAGAACGCTGATAATTAATCTCGTTTTGGCAGCGGCTCCGCCAGGTTCCGCTCCGACTCGGTCGGACGTCGGACCTGCTGAGTCCGGTTAGCGAAAGCTCTCATTAACGACGTCGACTTAGTGCGGGTGTGAGGGAGTGCGCGTGTTTACGCTAATGTGGGTTTTGAGCTCAAGTTGAAAGACCGAGCCGAAGGTGGTAAGCCAAGAATTTGCATAAATTGCGCATATATAAATACGTGAATCGAGCGCTCGAACTCCGCGCCAGGAGCCCGACTCGCGCCTCATAACGAGGTCTGCCAATGCATGGAATGAGTTCGTGACGACCATTCTCGCTGCAACGCGACCACGTGTACGTTTACGGTGCCTCTATCGATTTCCTGTGAGATAGGATATTTGACGGACGTGATTATCCGGTCGAGTCATAATCGTTCCCTCCTTCCCATCTCCCCGCTATGTCAATCTCACTCTCGCGTTCCATCTCTATAATTAAGATAAGCAAGCCGGTGGTGTCGATCGTCGGGTGAAAAATGACGGCGGCTACGTTCCACTATATAACGGGTGTCTATAGAAAGAATAGCGAAGCGAGTGACCTCGCCTCTCGGTTCCTCTGATCACTAGACCAACCCAACCCGCAATTTGGCGTGCAGGCGCTGGGAAGCGGACAGGCGGCGCCGGATCTTACGAAACCCTTCCGCACTCGAGCCGCTCCGAAGAGGAGGCTCCCATAAAGCGAGATTATTTCCGCCTAAAAACCTTTTCTGACCAGAGCAGAGCCGGACCCGATCCAATAGCTAAGTCGTTCTTCGGTCCGAGGAATCAGACTCACTCGTCGCTTGAAAATCCCAAGCCTTCCGGAGCGATAGCAATCGGGGCATGTCGTCACGGTAGCAGAATATTCCTCGACTTCGTAACCGGAAGCTGCCCGATATTGTTCTCAGAGCTGCCACGATTCTGCTGTGTGGAGAAGATGTCCCTGATCCCATCTGTCGTCCAGGGATACTACTCCATACTCTCGCTCGAAGTGCACATATCTGAGGAAGTTTTGGCAAAACACCCCTCAGGACCGAGGAAATGAAAGCAAAAATCGGTACCGACCAGCCTGTCCGTATTAGGGTTCAGGATTCCGTCGGGCCAGGAGTCTAGTTGCTAGCCGCTCATCGTAGAGTAACGGGGGAAGTAAGACAAGATTGCTCAGTCCGGTCACGGAAAGAAGCCAGCGGGCCACCCTGTACCGCTGCCACTGGTCGAATCGCCCACTCCGTACCGCCGGTCGAGTCGGCAAAACAAAAGTTGATTAAGCCTTGATACCCTCTCAGTCAGGCCGACGTCTGCAGCCGCGGTTGGTTCCGCGATGCTGCCAGTGGGACTGCCCTTCAAGTCTTCTTTTGTACTCGCCGTTGTCTCTTACCACCCTCACAACAAAACCCTGAGCACCGTCGGTTAGCGCCCCACTTCCCTGGATGAATGCTCTGTCGGTTTGGCTGTTTCGTTGACACAGCTGTCTTTCAGATGTTCAAAATTGTAGTTTTGGTGCGCAATCAACCTTGAAACAAGAGCCATTCCTTGTTGGCTCCATCGCTTCACGCATTTACGCCTGTTCTCTAAAAGGGATTCTGTCGAGAAGTGCCCTCGGAGGATCCAATTTTCCTTTGGATCCAATACTTCGAATCACGATAGCGGACTTCAAGTCGGAAATTAGTCGAACACATTCCAGGGAAACAAAATTTGTCGAAGAAATGCGTTATCAGCACGACATCCGGGTTCAGGCCGCGGATTCGGTTGCATCTGACATGATGAAGACGGACGTTTTCTCGGCCGTTCAAACATACTTCCCCGAGGAAAGGATGAAGTCATCCAACAGCATTCTTGAAAACTCATATGCTATCCCGACACGGTGCAGGCGAGTTGAACACTCCATTTCTGTGTGAGTGTAGGAGCTGGACTCGGTGATTCCCTCCATGCGGAGAGGCAGTACGTTCCTTGTTTGTACGAGTTTCCCTCGCCTCGAAACAGGCACTCACAACACAATCAGTCGGAATGCACGACGGTATCTCGTTCCTACGGAATCGGTTCGTTCGCAGACACCAGCGCCCCCGCGCGAGTGTCCTCGGTGTCGGTCCCTGACCCTCGCTACGTGATTCAGCTTGAGGTACCAACACCGCCTGTTGAACGCACACACGGAGCCGAAGTTCCCCGAGTCTACTTTGTGTGTCTTCGACGGGTGGGGAGTTTGGTCGAGTGCACTTCACTGAAACCTTCTTCTTTCCCTCCCCGGCTCAGACCTCGTCGTTTGTTATCTCTCTGAGAGGCCTACATCGGAATAACCTGTACGAGACATCCTCGTATATCTGATCTACTTTGTATACTTTGCGGAGTTGTTCTCTTAGGGACGCGAGACAGATAGTGCACGGTGATACCGCCTCGGAGTCAAGAGAGTGAATGACGAAGCAATTGGGATGTATGTTAAGCTCTTGGTCCTAGCTCGCTGTGTATCGCCTGCCGCAAAGCATGCATCCACCGGAATACGGTGGCAGGATCAGGATGGAGCTAAAAAAGTTGATACGCTTATCCTGCTGCCAGCGAGGTGGCAACGTCCTTCCAGCGGGTGACTGACTGTCTGTGTTTGCTTAATTAAACTCCTTGAAACTATAAGCCTCTCTCAGCTCGTCCGGCCCCGGGCACACTGGTGAGACGTGCTCCGAAGCTCGGTGTCAACGAGGTCGGGAGCGCAGGATCGATGCCCAAAGAAATCGAAGCGGATGCCGCGCCTACGGGTGAAACGAACGACTGATTTTTCGAGATCCTTTCTTCACAGTCGATTGAGCGGAGTGTGCTTATCGAGAATCCCGATCCAATACTCTGGGATGGGCTCCCCTCCGCGAATAGCTCGGCCAAAGCTCGAGGTGTCCCTCATGCACCACGGCCAAGGAAGGATCATAAAATCAGCTCGCATACGGTTTCGGACTTACGAGCCGAGACAGACTCGTCTTTACAGAGGCAACGGCACCGGTGCCGGAAGGAATGAGGATAGAGAAGTCTCGGAGCGATGGAGAAAATGATGATGATGATTAGGAGATTATTGGAACTCGGTGGGTAACATCTTGCCCGAACGAAGTAGGCTCGCCCCTCTCCCCGTTCCGCGGGAATAATGGACCTGGATTCAATTCCTGAAGTCGGTTGACCTCCACGTGTCGATCAGCGGATTTATATTTGGGTGCGATGATCATACTTTTTTCCCTGGACTCCTGAATGAGTCGTACAGAGGCACGAATTGTACTCCCCTCGACGCCGAGGGAACTCTCGATTGGCGGACTGTTACACTTTCTCCAGCCCGAGCGATCTCGATATACCTAATGGGTCAACGTAGGGGCGGTTCCACGCATTCTCCGGAGTCGACCTCCGTATTCAGCATCCCATGCTCACCGAGAGATATTTTGCGGGCCTCGACCACGTTCCTGGGTTCTTCGTACTCGTGGTGGTGGCTCATGCTCATCCCCTGCGCGGCTGCTTTGGCATTTGCTCGGAGGTCCTCTTCGTTGTCCGAGCTAGAATCCTGTCTCCACTCTTGACTCTGGTTCCTGAGCAGCCGGTTCCCTCGGTTCAGAGCCTCCATTATCCGGAGCTCCGTCCTGGCGCTTCTAAGGATTCCGTCGCTTCATTCTGGAATGGGAGGCAGGCATTCAGTTTAAGAGCTCGATAACGAATACTCGTTGAGAGGCGGCTCGAGGCAGCAACTGGATCCTCCAAACTAGAGAACTTTATAATGAGAGCGTGTCCTGCCAGCGCTGCGGGGGAAAGGGGGAGCTGTGAGACCATGTATGTACGAGCCGGGTATCTGTCGCGCATTTCGATCCGTACGGAGTGTTTGCCATAAACTCTGGAAAACACAATCGTCCGTCGATTGGGCGTATGAACACATGCGCCTGCGGGTATCGTCTGTCCGTCGCTACCGCCATGCAGCGTATCGCCAATTTCATTGAGGCGAGGACCTCGTGTCGGACAGCGGTCGCGGCGTGTCGCGAGGCAGCGCGTAGGCCATCATGATTAATACATTTCAAGGTTAACGAAGATGATTACGCGGTACGCAAGACAACGCCGCTCCGGCTAATAGACACCGCAACCGATGGACGAACGGACAAGCCGAGGAGCAGACGGCCGAGGGGAGCATGGGCGAGCCGCTGGAGGATGTTTGAGGGGGAATAGCAAGCGAGCCCGTAGGCTTGCTAATAACGACTAGCCCCGCACGTATCCCCTCCTCCCGCTCGTCGGTCCACTCCCCACTCATTCATTCGACTGCAAGGAGAAGAAAGGGTTTTTCTCTGCGCTCCCTCGCTCGCTGGCTACCCAACTAGTCCGCCGTCGGTACTTCGGTCGATTGGACGAGCGAGCGAAAATACAGTTCGCTCGCTTGCTAAGCTGACTGAGAGAGCGTATTAGGTATCCCGTTGCAGGGAAGGAACGCCCAGCGAGGTAATCACAGGATAGCATTGTTTGGCCAATACCTCGTTACTCGTCGTGCTTTCTCAGCTATGATTTCTGCCAGACACAGCGAACGACAACCAGTCACTCAATGACCGGAGCCCTGATCGGTCACACAGGTGCTCAGTCGCTTGTTCAAGCACCGGCATACGTTCGAGTATGTCGACACACCGTGGACAGTTTCCCGATGTACATACCACATACTACATACATGTCTATGATTCGAAAACGCGTATAAGCACAGGAAACGTCGACGGTGCGCCTGGCTTCTCGCCCAGAGCTTGTGACTCCGATAAAGTTCGTTTTCCCTCGAGGGAAAACGGCTCCGCGTCTGTCCCCATGCGCCCATCCCCATGGTCATATTCAATATTGTAATAATCCTTTACGGGCAGAGAGCCTTGTCAGCGGCCGGACCATGTCGAGTGTTGTCCGCGCTCTCCGTCCGTGCTTGCGGCAGATTTTCATGGGCTTGAGCGTCTGAGAATAGATTGGAAGGGCCGAGTGCCCCAGGTACTCGTTCCGTGAAAAACTCGAAATCAAATCAGCCGAGCGTCGTCCCGCGCAGAAGACAAGTGTTCCTCTTGGATTGGAGTTATTTTATCCTCTTCCGCGCTTATCGTGCACTACGTATGCGCATCTTGTTTTGGACAAAGTCCGCCATCCCGCGAGCAGTCCCGCAGCACTCGACCGACTCCGTCTCTTTGCTTCAAATTGCTTTTCTCCGTCGTGGAGGGCACTACACGAGAACTTGCCTCATATCCAAAACAACCGGATCGCTCGCTGGGCCCTTTTTTCCCGGACATCGAGCCCATGATTTGGAATGACCGCCGTCGAGGAAAACCTCGCGAAACATTCCCGGACATTCCCCGCCATGGTTCTATACTGCCGTAGTCGGAGTGGAATGCTCGCCACGTGTGGGCCATGACATTGAGAAGGACTCATCGAACGAGCTCATTCGAAGAGAGCAACCGACGATGGACCGACAGAGTCCTCGTCCCACGAACGCTGCCTGGTCAGATGCATAGAGAATCTCAATTTTTGATGCATAGGGAGTTATGAATAGATTTTCCCGAGTATAGCCGAACATGGCAAAAGACATCCGATCGGCCGAGAGTGAACGAACCACATCTCTCGAAGAGCGTGGCAAATGTGAGTTCGCATGAATTCGATGACTCTCGAATCCAAATTAGTGTGGGGTGGGTTGGCTTTGAGGCAGCGCAGCAAACAGAGGGGAGGTACAGACGCCGATGGATAGATTGCCGGCTGCCTATTCGGTCGGTGGGTCGCCATCCCGGCCGTCGAAATGTCTGCTCCACTGACTGGCTGACTATTTATCAGTATCAAAGCGTGTAGCCCGAACTGACTGCCTGCCTGTCGGAGCTGGATCTACGAATTTGTTGCGCTTGCGTAGTTCTCCAAAAGAGCGGGCGTTGCAGTTGGCCGGGTCAGTTGGTCTCGCTTGCCGCGCCGGCGGCATCGACCCGTCGAGCAACTTCCTCTGAATCCGACGATGGACGGTATCGCGCCGCGGCGACGATGGACACGAGGAGATTGATTCGCGGGAGCTAATAAGAGGAAGACGAAATCGTGATTGCTCTCTCTCTCTCGATGTCATCTTTGCACAGGGGGCTGCCAGCCTTCCTCTTTGCCTACCCTCGAGTCCGAACTGCATTCCCAACATCGGAAGTCCCCCAGCTTCTTAGCGATCCGCCCATGGCGGTCTTCTCTACTCCTCTGCTTCTCATTCCTCTATTCTGACGGCCGACCCCGCTATACGTCGTCCCCACCTCGGCATCCTTCTCCCTCAGTCGTCGTCGTCGCCTGCGAGCCGCTCCATGAGCCCGGGTCGAGGGAGTTTAATTAAAAAAGTTCGGACAAAGGCCGAAGATCTCAAAAAGGACCAATGACAGCTCCTCGTTGAACATCGGGAAAGATGTCATGGCACCATGTGGGAGACGGAGGCTCCTCGCTCGGGTTGACAGTCCCTCTCCGGACCAGTCTCTCCGAGGCTTCGTCTCTTCTACAAAGGTCGGTCAGTTGTTTGTGGGTGGGTGGGTCGATTGACCAGCCCGAGCATCTCGGTCAGCGCATCCTGAGCCGGGCTTCAAAAATCCTCAGAGCGACCGGCCCGGCGGTGCGTCGTCGCTCAAAAATTCCTTATCGAGTTCCGCTCGAGGACCGTCCCGACGTCGCTCCCCATTATTTTCAAGTGTTGAGCGCTCTTTGATCAGAAAATAAGGGCCTCCGTTTGGACCGCACCCTCTCCGGCTAAGCTCAGGTTGTATCCGTGGTCAATACCAATTTTTGGATGAGGCTACAGGGAGCGATTCGATGAGGTTTCACCCGTCTCTCCGCGATGCTTGTCTAGGTTTCGATCCCCGCGGTATTGCTGATGAATATTTCGCGAAGGTGACCAATAAGTATACAGATATGAATGAGCTCATCTCGATATTGGACAGATGACGTGCGTCCATTCACGCCTGCCGACCTTCCTGTCAGGTGGGCAACGGACAGAGTCCATCGGTGCCCAAAAGGCAAGATGTCTTCATTCAGACGGAAAACGTGTCGGTTCGGAGCGGGCTAGAGGCGCGAATTGTGATGATGGAGCGAGACACGGGAGATTGTTTCGCCTTTTGATAATTGAATAATCCGTATGCCGTGCTTCCGTTTCGGAGGCACTCGGCCCGGAGCACCGATTCGGACATGCAGTCAGCCCGGCGTTCTGTGATCGAGTGGCCTTGCCGGCTGTCACGGAAAGTGCGAATCAGCGGCTATCCGAGTCTTGTTACTAATCTCCAATTCATTCATACTATCGACTCCATTTCGAGAAATGTTATCAACTCCGCACGGAGTCGCTGTTTTCTTCAAGACCCCACGAAGCTAGCGGGTCGATTATCTAAGAAGAATAGTTTCGTGCTGCGATAATGAGATTACGGACAACATTCATCTTCTTCTTTTTCTCGCGGCGGCGGGTAAGAGGTGGTGCAGCGTCTCTCCGGGTCTCCAACACCACAATTGCATTTGGACTCCTGCTCATCCGTTATTGTCGCATTTGTTCTTGCTGTGTTGCATTCAGAGAGACTTCTTAGTGGGACCGATCTATTACGCTTCCCGTTCCAAATAAATGTTCAACGGATATGCACCACCGCCGTTATCTTCTCCCAGCATCTTCGACGCGGCAAGAAACGACCCAATGGAGTCCCGAGTTGAATACTGAGTCAACGCATCTCCGACTCCGCGGACAGGATCCACGGATTCTTCCCCCGAAATGGAGCAGAGAGAATATACTAGCACGACTATCGTAGCTATCATTTCTTCGAGCATCACCGTTGGTGCTCCCACCAGCGACGGAGAGTCTCGAGGAGGGATGGGGAGTGCAAGATTATCTTTTGTGCCGGCAACTGGGACCGACGCGATGAATGCGATGGCGACCGTAGCGAGAGTGGGAGTGCCATCTGCTCTGATCGCGATGGGATTCTTTCAATTATCCTACATGGATACGGTGGAAATAGGAGCGAGAAGGGGAGAATCGCGGATGAATTCAGGAAGCGGGAGGAACATGGATTTCGGGTGAGCGTAGCTGAGCATGCAGCTGCGATTGGTACTCTCACGGCAGGTCAGCTGGGCGCGTATGAGGAGTTCCATCCCGAGGGGAATTTAGCATCGCGGAGGCGACGGAAACTCTCACGCAGCGCATCCAAGCATGAGCGTACCTCCACATCGGGACCTGTTGGTTCTGTTCACGGGGAAGCAGTCCTCGAATGCGAGGTTTCCTCAAGACGGGACGCGTGGAAAGCCTCTCGCAGCGGAGATCCCCCCTAGACGCCTCCTCTCCTGCGAGCTTTTGCACGGCCTCATCGAATAACGCTCGGTTCATCTCTATTCAGCAGCGACAAATACGACCATTCAACCTCGGAAACCCGCGGAGGATGAGAATCTCTTGCTCGATATTTACAATGATTGAGGCGCGACAAATTCTCAAAAGAATTAGTGCGAGCGAATCCACACCCTCTGGCTGAAGCTATAGCGGCAGTAACAAACGGCGCGAAAATAATTGGGAATACCCTCGAAAGGCGGAGGGCTGAACAAAGCGAGCTCGGCAAAATGCACGGATCATCATTAGGTCTCACGCTC